GCCTCTCAGAATTCATGTGATTCCTTGAAGTTCAGGCAAATAGTGTGTCACAGATGCCGACCTGCTGTTTTCTTCACACTTTGTGTGCTAAATAAAGATTTGTGTGCCTTGTGGAGCAGTTGTCGTACACTGTCAGTGCCACGTTGGAGCTCCGTTTAGGTACAAAATGGCTGAGAAAAAATTAAAAGGCCCAGATGCAAATATTTAAAGTAGCTATTATGCCCTGCTAAGAACTTACAGCACAATATTTATTTTTTATTCATGTAAATGTATTGTCTGTTCACAAAAGTGCCTGTTCATTTGTCTCCAAGTCCTAGATGCCCATCCTAAATATTTTAAGTTGGGCTTAGGTCTGGAGATGATGGCATTCATCTGAAAACTGTTGCGTTCTCATCTTGCAAGAAAGTTGTTGTTACGTGAGCATTGTGAAGATGTGCATTGTTCTGCTGGAATGGATCAGGATGGGCAGCTTGTGAGGCCCCAAGATTTGACAAGTATAGGTCTGTGTAGTCAGGTTGCCATCGGCCACTACAAGTGAAGTTTTGTAGCGACTAGATGCTCCTCATCATCACACTTGAATCGCGCCAGCGATTGAAAGAGGATCTGTAAGCTCTCCAGAACCAGGCTGATGTCCAGACCGATGTCTCATTTCTCCGGCTCCATGGCCAGCAAGCTGAGACTTCAGATCAAGGTGTTGTGGCTTGTGGGCTCTCAGATCATGGCCTGTCGTTGATTAACTGTTTGGCACCAGTGTCTTGCCAGGTTAGAAATAACCGGCTGTGAACACCCCAGATTCTTGAGAAGTTGAGATCATGCCACCTCACGTCTTTCAAATTTGTGGTATAAAATAACAACCTTGGCAGTTCTAGGGTTAAAATCTTAATCATTTGCGGACCGTGACTAACACTTCATTTGGTTTTAAGGCAAGCTTCAATATTTTACCACACACTGGCCGTATAGCACTTTGTGGCAAAATGGCTGAGGCGTTCAAGAGGTTAATGCACAGCATAAAACCTAATTATCCTTCTGAAATTGCTGAAGCTGACATTTGCTTAGTTTATCGAAAAAGAAAAACAGAGATTAGAGGTGATTAGTGGTGTTCCTAATTTAAAAAGCAACTGCCGTCTGCATAAAGGGATATTTCTCTCCTTCATTCTCTGGAAATGAACATAATTTTGCAGAATTGTTATCTTGCACATTGCGACAGGTTTGTGGATCATACCTGCTCTCACTCCTCCCATGTGGAAATGGTAAACCACTGAAATTGGCAGTGAATTATGGCAGAAGTAGCAAAATAATACAGTTAAGAATTTGCATACTTGGGACCTGGCTCTAGAGAGTACTATTTAAGGCATTAATGCATGGGAAAACTTAGAATACGAGCTGACACAATATAGAAAATTCACATCGACTTTTGAAGTTGTTTTTGTGGACAAGGATTAAAACACACTGGCATAATGATGTGGTACATTGTTTTCTAAAAGCTGAGTATGTTTTTTTTTTAAAGAGGTTCATTTTACAAGTAATAACAAAATTGGATAATTGCCACTCGGGTTAAATGGCTCTAAGTGGACTTATGCTAAACTTCTTTTTCCCCAAAGTTATGTTTGTAATGGCTAAATTGTTCTAATCTGGCTGTGTTTGGGTCTGGTTTCCAGTAAGTGGTAAGTCACAATGAAGAGTTTGATTTGAACTTTTGTTAGTAAACCAAAGCAAAGGTCAGCATTCCACAGCTACAGTCTTTGTGGGACTTGAAGGGTCAACATGTCCGTTTTCATCTGTGTTTCTGCAGCACGTGGCCTCACTTGAATGATATGCACACGCCCTTTGGAAGAATTTGCCTCCAGAGATATTATAGTAACTGGAAGACCTGTGTGTCTGCAACACATCAGGTGTCTAGTAGAAAAGCAACTCCAAATAACCCAAGCACATGCTGTCCCCTTGCCCCAGTTTGTCTTTGTTTCCTGGGCTGCAGCTGATAAACCTCCCTGACCTCTGGTAGTACTCATTAAAGTGACCTGACCCCTGCACTACCAGGACCTCTTCTCTGTAATCTTCCATCACATTGGTTGGATGTCCCTTATTGGCAGATCCTGACACGGGGTCTAATTTGTATTTGGGCAAAGTGACTGGATGTTGGCAACATTTGACGCCTGTGCAGTTTGACCTATATTTGTTCCATTGATTCCTTAACACAGCCCCCTCTCTTATTTTGTTGGTCTCTCAAAATTCATCTTGAGTATTGGTGAACTATATCCTGGTTGCGGTGAAGATGATAGTTCCAATGTGAATGCTAAATGGTATATTTTTGCAGTACAAAACATTTTCTATAATGTAATGCGAAACCAGGATTGCCTTTACCTGCGGAAGTTCTGGTTAAAGAGCACTGTAGGGGGATGTTTCTTTACAGCTGAGCTAAAGCATAGGCAAGTTCAGCACAGAAAAGGTGATAATTTGAGATCATTCTTCCAAATCTTGTTTTGGTTGTATGCGTTTACATCTTAAGTTAGAAATCAAATCTTAAGTTTCATTTCTACCACAAGAAGTCAAAATGTCCTCGCCCCCTGTTAAATGTTTCTGAAAGTCCTAAAAGTTCTCCTTGCGGTGTATTTTTAACAGTTGACCGTTGTTCTGCCTCATTCAGTTGCTACCATGTCTAAGGTTACAATCTCCATTAACTCTGAAAGCTTCAAGCAAATTGCTACGTCAAGAATTGCCAGGATAAGTCTTTTGTAACAAAAACAAAAGACGTTGTCTATGATTAGCTGAGAGGTTTTCTGTAGTCATGGAGATGGCTTATTTATAGATTAGGTTTTCAGAGGAAGTCAGGGTTTATTGTTATAACTGTATTATTAAGCATTGCAACACCCCTATGACCTTCTTGAAACTGCCAAGGCCTACTGACATCTCCTGCCACTGTTATTAATCATTGAGTGCCACGAAGATTGGTTGCTTTGAAAACGAATATTTCATTAGTTAATTTTGTTGCTCTAATGAGGGCAAGATCCTTTTGGGTCTCTTAACCTGAGGCTGAGGTGTTTAGCAGGCTGTATTTTATTTTGCCATTTTATTCCTGAAGTTCAGTGAGTCCCATCTTTCCCATTGGAGCCCCGTGACCTCTGTTCTATACAGATTTTCCTGCTGGTAACAAGCTTTTTTTTGTTACATCCCTCTTTGAAGAGTTGGTCAGTGCAGTGCAAGACAAAAAGTCCCGAATCCATCTTTGTAATTTGAAAGAAGAGGTTATCTCAGGTCCACAATAATGATAAAAGCAACCTGATTAGAGTTTTCATCCAACTGGTACAACCTGACCTATTGTGTATTCTCTTTATACTTCAAATGGATAAAAATTGATGTTTTCTTTTCAGAGTTCAGGTTGTCTGATTTGCCGTGTAGATTTAGCATTTTAATAAATCCCTTTCTTATTTGGTGTGATAAATGGCATTCTTTTCCTATGACACCTGTGATGAAATTCCACATTTTGAATTTAAGAAAAAGAGCCGGGCATATTGGGTATACATTTCTTGGTGGGTTTCAATCATAAAATGCCGAGACAAAACCTTTTAAACCCTTCTTCTGTGTGTGATCATAACTCATATTTTTATGATTCCACTAGAGAGAGTTCCTCTGTTCGCGTTAAATAGATTCATTGCATTACAAGGCATTAAATCTAAAAGAATGATGTGTGATGGAATATTCTTAAATACCAGAAATAAAAAAGGTGTTGAAAAGCAAAACGAAAGATTTGGGGAAAGCCACGTATACTCGGAGGCTTTACAAACACAACAGATGAATATTTATTTGAATCAATAGTGTTTGTTGCCTTTTCAAGGTCTCAATGTACAAATATAACAAAATGGAATCTATTCAAATTGTTGGTTGGTTTGTCATAAAATATCTATTTCCTCTAACTGGTAGCTTGCAAAGACATGTCCCTTTCAGGAAAAGATTTGGATTGTACATTTTTGGTCCCAAACTAAATACCCCAAAAGAGCATGAAAGTGAATGTTGACTTCTAACACAAGAATGATTTGCCGTCGTGTGGTCCGGGAGGGTGAATTATTTGGAAACTGCCGGGCAGCGTGAGGATATGGGGAGTTTGATGTGCTGATGCGGTCTGCTTTGTGCCCACAGGGTTTTCCCACCTGCCCAGTGGCCTGTATCCCAGCCACTACATTCCCCTGGGACACATGGAGCACCCCAGCAGTGGGAGCCCCCTGCTTGCCCAGCTCAGGGAGCACGCCCTCTTCGAATCCCAGAAAGGTGAGTGGACACCCACTCGCTCCTCCCTTCTCTTTCCTGGGGTTGGCATCAATCACTGCTGCCACAGTTCACAACTCTTGGCTTTCCAGGGTGTGCACACACTGCCGATTGATGCAGGCATACATTTAGATTGGTTTAAATTGCTAACCTATAGCACCTTTTAAAAAAAAAAAGTGGTCTTTTCACAGTCTCCTGGGACACGATGTCAACAGTGCAAAGGAAGGAGTATGAACTCTTGGTTTGAATATTCCTTTAATTGTCACTTCTTTCCAGGACACTCCTCTGGAACAAACACGATAGTTTCATATTGATAAGTTCAACACGGGAAGTGAAATACTGTGTTGTTATTGCCTGTTATAGAATCCTCTCTATTGATTGTTTTATACTCGGGGTTTACTTGAACTCTTTCTATACTCGCCAGATGGCAGTTATTTATTTTACGTATGCCCTTTAAAATTATTTAATTACTTAAGTTGCTTAATTGACTGCAGCTGGTATCAAAGCGACTTCAGATGGAGGATTGCTGTAGATCCCTCCCACTCCTGTCAGAGTGAGGACTGTTATACTCTTGCATTGTGGACAATCGCAACACCTCCTACAGCTCAGCTAATGAACTGGGGAGGAGTGTGGCTGAGGAAAAGTGCTTTCTCATTGAAAATAACTGGAGCGTGTGATGTTGCTCAAACATATGTTTTCACTGGTCAATAGAACAGATGGAGGTCTACTGCTATCTTTTTTATTATTATTATTGTATTGATTTTTCTTTCCACCCTCTGCCCGTTTAATTACTTTATCTTTTATTAGGCCTTTACCCTGTGTGTAGACAGGCACTGCGTATTGACAGTACAGTGTGTGTGTGTGCGCGCGCGTGTGCGCTTCTTTCTCTGTGGGGCTGTCAGGGAGGATTTCATTATGGAATGTGGTTGTTCAATAACTTTGCTTAGGATGCAGACAATGACCACTGCTCAGTACTAACCAAAATGAAATGGTATTGCTGGTTATTGGAGCCGGCTCTATTTCATTTGCCACGAGCGCAAAGAACAGCTGTACATAGCGTAGTACTTTCGAACGACGATGTTTCAAGTTTGTAGCTGTTTAGTCATCTTGATAGTGAGGCCAGTTGTAGCTACGCAGGAGTCTGCACAGGGGTGGGGTGCGATGAATGCAAAATGGGATGATCTGAATGAGCACAAAATGGAATTATTCTCTGCGCGGTGGTCCTCAGGTGCATGGGCAGTGAACCGTTTTGCTTAGCCTGTGTACGCATTCTTGCATTTATGGATTCTTCTTTTCTCTGCTTACACTTGCAGAAGGCTTTTACTTGCCCGGCACTGCGGGACAGTCAGCCCTGCATCCTCAGCCTCCCATCTCAAGGACAGCAGCCAGTCACATCCCCAGCTCCCTGCCTCGGGATGCCGTTTCTCATCACAAGAGCGCGAAGGACTTGAGCAGAGAGTCGGGCAGGGAAAAGGCCAGCAAGGCTGAGCCCAGCCAGCCTCTTTTGAGGAAGGAGAGGGAGAGGCCTAAGGAGGATCCAAGGCCGAGGAGCGTGGTGGACCTCACCCAAGACGCGAAATTGGAGAGCGAGAGGAAGCTGAGCGGTTTGGACAGGACTTTCAAAAGCGGGGAGCACACGTCCCCTTTTTTTCATGAGCACTCGCCGGGTCTGAGTGGTGGAGAGCCAAAGTCTAAGAACCCTTTGCAGACCTCCTCGCTGAGCAACTGCAACAATGGCGGCAGCGGTACCTTGCTGAGGTATTCAGGCACCGAGCAGGACAAGTGTGCCAAGGACCTAAGTCAGCACGATGAAAACATGCGGCCTGGGACGCATGTCCACACGGACAAGCTGAAAAAGTGTGACACGGTTGTGACTTCTGTTGGTACTCTGCATGTTTCTTGTAGCTGCCCTTCCCCCCATAGTAACTCCTCCCAGATCCCCCCTCGAATGGTATCTTCTAGCACATTCCCCCCTTCTCATCACACCTCCTCCAGCTTGTGCACCCTCTACCCAACAGCCAAGGAGTCCGGAAGGGAACACAGAGTGATTGCACCCACCTTTGTGCCTTCTGTCGAGGTTTATGATGAGAGAAATGGGCCAATCCAAATTGCTTCACAGGCTCGGGACAACAAAAATGACAAAAACAGGGACAAAGACGGTAACAGATTAGGGACACTACCGGTTAACAACGAAAGGGCTCTGACCGACCCACTACGGCCACCTCATGCACAAGAGTCTCCATTGCATGGTGACTTCAAGAGGATGGAAATGTTAAGGGAGGAGGGCTCAGTTATAAGGTCAAATTCTATGGCGATGAAAAGGCCAGCATCCTCAGAAATCCTACTGAGCAAATCGGGGCATAGCCCAGATGTGAGGGACTTAAACAGCGCCACATCCAAAGAACTGGTAAAAATGGGCCTGGAAGCCGATTCTCGCAACCAAGAACGTGAGAGGATTCAGCGGGCCTCCATGAGAGACACTGGGAAAATTTACAATGGTTTAGATCCTTCTAGGATTCACATGGAACAGCACCAGCTCAAGAGTTCGGTGCCCACAGAGCCTAAGTGGAAACCTTTTGAAATGGGCAACTATGCTACCAGCCAGATGGCAGCACTTGTCGCCCAACATGGGCATGGGAACAGAGGGGAGGAGGACAGTAAGAAGATCTACCTTGATCCATCAGGGCTTCAGAGACCTGCAGTGGGTGGAAGCTCCAGAGGCGGCTCTGAGGTCTTGCACTCGGGTTCACATGGCGAAGTGTCCGCCATGCAGAGCTTGATTAAGTACAGCGGTAACTTTGCCAAGGAGTCTGGTGCCAGGCCCAGCAGTGGCATGAAGAGTCCCTTCGGTGGCCTCGGGCACATGAAGCTGGAATCTAACCAACCTGGAGCATCCAAAGTCCAGCATCTCCCGCCACAGCAGCCTGGGAAGCAATTGAAAAGGGACCCCGAAAGACCAGAGAGTGCCAAGTCTTTTGGCAGAGAGAGTATTGGCTCTCAGGGGGAGGTGGAAGTCAGGCACCCGCCAGTTGGGATTGCTGTGGCTGTAGCCCGTCAGAAGGACAGCACTAACAAGGCCAGCTCCAGCCTGGTGGACAGAGATCGGCCTGTTCCTGTGGGCAGCGTTAAAGGTAAGAGACCTCAAAGCGCTGTTTGCTTCCGCACTAAGCTATGAGTTGTATAAAAGAGAAAAAATGCAGTTCAAGATGTTCTTTCTCCCCAGTATTGATTCTGATCACAAGGTTGGGCCATGTGATTTGTTTTCCAATCATCTGATGGTAAACGCCTTGAGATCCAAATGTTTTTGTGTTAGGAAAAAAAAGGTGTAATTGTTAAATTTAAGAAGGTGGCCCACTCTCTCCATTTGGATTTAATTATTATTTACTTTGTTTGGCTGCTAGAAATGTAATCCACTGTTCCTCCTCAAAAGGCCTGAATCCAGCCCTCTGTACTAATAAAAAGTGCAGTCCTGCTCTTCAGTTTTACCTTTGCACTACAGTAGCCAAGTCATGTGACCACCCTTGTTTCCCACTAGACATGCCTTCACTGTTTACAAAAAAAAAACTTGATTGACAACACCATGGGAGCGGAGAAACGGGAATACATTCCATTCCTTTTCTTCCCTCCAAGCAGCTGTGTAGTCATTCATCAGCCGAGACATCATGTGGGACGCACAGCCCAAACCTTTGTCTGTGAAGTTAGCTGTTGCTAGGGCCTCCCTGGCCCACAGTAGGCCCTACCTGCATCGGGGAACAGTTTGTTGAGCCTTTCACTGACTAAGACACTGCCTGCCTGCATTAAATGTAATTTACTGAGCAGAACTAAAAACTGCAAACAAGGACTGAATTCTAATAGGCCTTGAGGTTTGTTGCTAAGCAATAGAATCAGCCTTTGGGAGAGAGCGAGAAAAAGCATTAATTTATTTCCTCCCTTGTGCCAGGAGATTGTAGTAATAACATTAGCCTGCTTGTGCTGAGAGGAGAATGTTTGAATTTACAGAGTATTTAAAAAATAGAAAGCAGGCTTTAGGTGACTAATCTGCAGTGTTTGTGGAGTAAAATGCTGGTATTTAGAACTTGGTCTTGGTATCCTAGGAAACAGGCCTGAGCCTTTCCTCTAAAGCATACGTGATTCAGATCTGTTCTTTCTCTTCTTTTGAGGTGTATAGAAGCACAATTCCTTTTTGCTGAGAACACCCATGTCCAATTGTCCCTGTGAATGTTCAAAGGTTGACTACATTGATAAAAACAGATTCCTTCTTTGCCTAAAAATGACTGGTAACTACTAGTTTGAAAATCTGTGTAGTTAACCAGGTTTAAAGTTATGGCAGTGTATATATTCCTTATTTGTAACTGACATATGCAGTATGTATAGAATTGTGTTTTTCTACCGTCATGACAAAACAAGATAAGTACAGTGCATTGCTGCCATACTTGCTTCAGTCACACGATTTCCAAGATGCGTAGCTCATCCTAAGGACAGCTTGCTGAGGGAAACAGCTTAGGTGCTTGTGCTAGCTTTGAGCCCTCTTTAAAACACATTAACAGCCGTTGCTAGTTGAGAATCAAGAATGTATCCCCACTGCAGCGTTTCCATGTGTGTCGTAAAAAAAAAACATTCCAGCTAGTGTTTGCGAATGTTTCTGGAGTTGTCATCGGTGATCTTATAAACTGCACCCTGCCACTGTACATAATACTAGACTTGGCATCCACACAATGGCAGTGTGTGTCCTTGAAATATAACAATCGCAAACAGGCTGAAGAGCTATCTCTCACCTCCTGTGCTGTACACAGGAATTGAAACCCACAAAGGTTTTTCACATGAATGGAAGCTTTAGGAATGTTTTGGTGAAAGTTTATAGTATGTGCCCTTCACTTCCATACCCATAACTGCATACGTTGTAGTAACCCTGTATTTAAGTATTTAATGAATGCTTTTCTTGTAAGTGTTATTAAAAATGTTTGTTAGGGTTCTACTTGCTTATTTTGTGGTGATTGAAAGATTATTTCAGAGTCGTGGTTGTATTGGTCTTTTGATTCAGGTTGCTTAGCCCCCGATTTACCCACAGAGAATACTCCGGCTCAGTTGATGTTCTCTAATTTATTTGTTGGGGGAATAAAAAGCAAAGTGTGTTGATCAAATCCTGGCATTTTCAATGGGACTGAAAATGGGTTTGTTCTGATTTTATTTTTTTAGCCACGTGGTACTGGGAATTTAAAACTCAGGTGACTTTCATGCACAAAAATATTACCATTCCTTGTGACAGTATTTATAGTACACACGGAAACTTCGAATTTAAAAACAACTTTTGGAACCTTGTCTAATAAAAAGTACTGTGAACTTCCAGCTGTTGCTGACAACTGTCTTATACTGGAGCCAGCCAGCGAAGAACATGTGTTAAATCATTTATATTTTGCTTACAAAGTGGAATTGACCGTTTGGCCAACCTCAGAGCTGTTCCAGACTAAATTTTAAATCAAACAGCCCTCTCTGTAATGCTTGTTTGGATCCGCCAACGTCCTCGCCGGCAAATATGGAAATGCCGTTTTGAATGCTGAAGAGTTAACGGCTCTCCCCTCTCCCATCAAGGGTCGGGACGCTCAGAGGAGGATCGTGGAGATGACCGGAGCCGTCACCGTGACGACCGTCTCCTGGCGGGCCGTTTGGAACGGGAACAAGAGAAGCTGCTCCGGTAAGTGGGGGACCTGGAGCCTTGGCTTTGCATTAATTACTGTTTTCACCATCGTTAATGAGATGAGACAATTTCATAATGATGTGCTTTTAAACGTAGCCTGTGAAAACAAGAAAGCTTAGGCACAAGAGATCTGTGTAAAGAATAAAATACCAATACTTTGGTATTTATTTCAGTTCTCAACCCGTGTCATGGAGGTTTTTTTAAATTTAACTAGTTTTCCGGATACTGCATCCATGATTCCTGCTGCTATCTATTTGAATTAGATATGTAAATTTTGCATTGTGTAAAGAAATGCAGTCCATGTCATGTTGGCCTGAAATGGTTCAGTATCGTTTTGGCCAGTCAGCTACTGTTTGCTCTAGATTGGCATATCAATCCAGGAAATTAACTTGAATTTTTTTCAGAAAATATTTCCAATAATCAATGATGGGAAAGCAAATAAAAATTAAACCAGATGAGTAATGTTTAGAACACGAGAATGTGAGGAATTGTTTCTCTATTGCTGTTCTTTTATGGCGGATTTTTGCATTGTCTTGAGATGAAAGCCGTTTTATTGTGTAAACATTGAAGTCTGGAGGGTTTGATGTTGTCCTCTTTGGCCCTGAAGCCAGTTGTTTGAGTTGTAGCAGTCAGGCTCAAACCCTTAGGAAGAACAATGAAACCACAACAGAAAGTCTGTCCCTAGTTTTCTCAGAAAGGTGTGGAACCACTGCACTGTTAAGAGATTTATTTTTCCTGCTGTTGTGTGGAAAACAGTGATAAGGGTTGATAAAAAGCGAGGATGTTTGTCCTTTGAAGGTTGCTTGTTGTAAGAATTAATTTCCCATAACTAATGAATACAGGCCACTATGGCATGCGCCATATGAAGAAAAATGTCCTTAGCAACCTATATAAATCCTCCAAACACCCATAGTGAGACATTGTTTAGAAGCAAATGGCCATTGTGAAAATCCAAAAGAGAAGACTTGCCACAAAGAGACTGGAGAAGAAAAAAAGCATTTGTAAAGAGCAGAACCCTAAATTAGCTTTAAATTGGCTAAAAAATACTACTGCAATAAGAAAAGTTTCTTTTTACTGGAGGTACTGTATCTATAAAAATATTCTGTCTCTTACTACTAAAACATTTTACTGTTAGGCTTTTTTCCATCTTTGGTCTGTGTATCGCTATATAATTGGTTTTCAACTGCTATAAACCTTTTTCAAAAGCAGGGACCCATCCACATTGCACAAAAAAAATCCCAAACTCCCCTACTGTGGAAATAGCCTGCCCAGTGAAATTATTTGCTCTCTCTCTTTCACTGTTACTGTTTACAGTTACTGTCTACCGTGTGGAATTCTTTGTGAGGTGAATTATTATTGCTGCTTTCTTGATAATTAGAGTAATACTTTGTTTGCTCTCTCCAGCGTATAGATCTTTTTCTATAGCTCCAAAGGCTGCAATTGACTTTCGAGTGTGTAATGTCGACCTTTTCATCAAACCGCTGTCCCTGTGCTCTTCGTGTTGATGCCTCAAAGCTGGTGTTACAGGGGGAGATGCGTGCACACCGCGTAGTGCTCTAGATGTGAAGCCTGATCTCGTCGCCACGGCCAGTTCTTCCCACGTAAATAAGTGCCGCATGGCCCAAGCCTGGCCAGTTTGTATTCCTCCATTCTCATTCGGTCCTCAACTTCTCACTTCCAGGGAGAGTAAAGAGCTGGCAGAGTTTACGCGGATCCACCCTCCGGTGGTTTCTGCCAGTGGGTTAAATCCTAATCTGATGGTGACGGGAGGCCCAGGCCTGGCTGGAGCTGGGCGATGGCCTGCCGACCCGACCTCTCACCTACCATCCCACCCCTGGATTCCCCGCACTGGCAGCCCCTCCATGTGGCTCCCCAGCTCCCCATATGGTAAGCAGTACGATCCTCTGTCCGGTCCCACGTGTCCCAGAATGACATGCAGCAGAGTGAACCTGATTTTCTGGTAGGTTTGGGGAAACAATGCTGTAGAAAGCAGTGACTGATTTTAACACATTGACGGAAGTATGCAAAATGTGAAAAAGCACCGAAACGTGTTCAGGTTTCTATCAAAGCGCACATCCCGGTTAGGATCAGCGGGCTATGAGGCTTTTATAGTTTCAGGGAAGACTGCTAGAACAGTCTTTAATGTAATGTGTAATTGAAGGTTTGTGTTGGATCTATTCGCCCTCTGAAGTTCGCAGGGCGCTCGTGTTGTGTGTGTGTGTGGAGGGGGTGCATTAATGCATTTCATCTCTGGGCAGCACACTCTTTTAAAGTGATTTTAACATTTCATTGCATTAGTAAACACTCCCCTCTCTGAAGCCTAAAACCATGCTTTTATTTAATCTTGTTTAATTAAAAGCCCTAAGACTATCTTCTTGGATAAACATTTTAGTAAATAAAATTGTAAATCACTTTAAAACGGGTTTACGGACTAGCCGAGCTCTTTTAGATGCCTCATTATTTTTTATTAAAACGGATTTAGGTCACTGAAACCATCCGGGGCTGTTTTTTTTTTCCCATGGTTATTTCACAGAGTCTGGAAAAACGAAAATTGAAAGGTAGTTTATCACAAGACTCTGTGGAATATGGATGAGTTGATACATTTTATCCAGTGTGAGGCTAAACTAGTAACTTTAGAGTTGATCAGTTTTCTTGTTTGTATTTCTTGGGTTGGCTCAATTGCTCGGCCTTGTCCGACAAAAGATAGAGAACACTTGTTGGTCTTATCTTTGTTGTACAGTTTGGTTTCCGAAGCCAACAGAAGAACTGTTTGTTCTTTCCTATTCTGATCTTTTTAGCTCTTCCTCGACACATGAGAAAATGAGATTTGAACAATTTGCAGTGCTGCAGACATTTTCAAGCACACCAGGAAAGTTCCATGATGGAAGTTGGTGCACTTTGTTCAAAGGATGATGTATGAAGTTTGAAGTCTGAATTTTTCCTCTTCTTCTCCTGTGCATATGAACAGGGCTGGGTCACCCGTCACTCCACCAAGGACTGCCCCCAGGGTTCCCACCCACCCTGCCTGGCTCCATCCCCTCCACCTACCAGTTTGCACGGGACCCCCAGTCTGGCCAGCTTCTTGTTATCCCAACTGAACATCTGCCGCATTTTGGTATGCAGCTTGTCCTCTGAATGTTTCAATCTGTGAGGGTCTTCAGCCCTTTTCATGTCTCATTTTGTAAATGCAAACTGTTCTTTATGCGTTGTGGGATATCGTGACTAGCTTAAATTTGTTTAATAGTTTGATTGTAAAAAAACATTCTGGTTAGGCTTGCTGCAATACTCTTTGGCCTCTTTGACTGGTTTCTCACTTCTGTGGTTTTTGAGAGAAAAATACTATATTAAATCACTAGGCAAATTCTGTAGTTAAGTTTTAAATAAATTCAGAGCCTATATGGACTCCCAGTGATGCCCTCTTGAGAGGGTTTCTCTATGGTCATCTTAGTGAATAACCGGAGTGCTGTAGTGCTGTGACTTACAAACATGCCAGACATTTGAGAACCGTTTCCCTCATTTCAAGCGGCATCATTCTTTGTGCAATGAATACTGTAAGCTTTGCTCATGTTTGTTAGGTTATTGGCTTTTAGCCCTGTGCTGAAGCATCAGTATCAAACTGGTGAAGGATATTCTGAGGACCAGCCTCAAAAGTTCCATATAAGAGTCCATTTAAGGCAGGATTTTATGGTGCTGATGCTGTTGGCTGTTTTCTATTTATCAGCTGAATTAATGGAGAGAGCACCCCCACTCTGGTCAGCAATGTACCCTCCAACAGGCAGCTCCCTCCAGCATGCCCACCAGCTGCAGCTACTGTCTCAGCAGCAGCTGCTGCGCCAACAGGAGCTCTACATGATACAGCAACAGGCCGCCCAGGTCATGGAGCTTCAAAGAAGCGCTCAACTCGTGGTGAGTTTCCTGCCTTGAATCCCCGACTTCAAGTTATACTTGTTTGCTGCTTGGGAGGGTTTTTCGTGGATCGCATCCGAGTGTTTTATAACGTTTGATGAGGTCAGTGATCATCTCTGTTTGATTGAAGAAAAAGGACTTTTCTTCCTGGGGGATCTTGGCTTTGAATTAGCAGATGAACTACAGATTGGAAATAGATGTGATACCATCTTCACAGCTGAAACTTAAAGGTTCAGTGAGTGATATGTAAGTCTAGTGGTATGATTCCCCTTTCTTTTCTAGGTGCTGTTAGATTTTGTTCTGTTTTTCTTCCCTGGTGTATTTGGCCTGAGCTGCTCTGCCATGATTAAAGAAGGTGCCCAGTCATTAAATCCTTGTGTAGTGAAAGCAGCTGCTTTAAGGACTGTTGCACTGACGAAGACCAACTTCATTGTCAACTTTGCTTTAGCGTTATTAGTGTTCTTAAAGATTTTATGAGTGGTGGGTTTTAAAGAATGGATAAACCTCATGATACGGTCACTAAAACAGAGCTTGCCAAGAAAATAAGCATGATTTAAAGAGTTTTACTTCTCTCTCCAAACAAGCAACAGTCTCCAGACTGCAACAATTCCTTGCAGTCCTCTCTTGCTCTTGTAAAGTAATATATTTGGTTAGCTGGTATTGCCACAGCTCTGGCAGTAGCCGTATTCCACCCCCTGAGATCATTGGATCTTGGCCTATCTTGATATCCTTTATGTATCATTGCCTAGTGCTTGGATTCGTGAACATGGGTTGACAGGGTCAGATCTGTTCTGTATACTGCTTCTTTTATATCCATCCGATTGTTGCCTTTCAGTCCCTGTGTTGGTAATTTAGAGGTTTGAAAAGTTGGGATGTTGTGTTATACTATTTTTCACTGTTTGCCATTCATTATTTTCCTACTGTTTTAAAAAAAAGTAGTTTGTGGAGGGAGTGGGGGGGATTACCAATGCCTATGGAAATAAGGCATGTAAGAGTTTCTTGACAAACCACCCTAATGGCATTCTCTTATTTCAACAGGAGAGGTTAAAGGCAAATGAGCATAGAGCGGAGCAGGAGGACAAGGCAGCAAAAAGAAGCAGTGAAGGTGCCAAGCAGGGTCTCTCGGCCACCTCGGCTATAGCCCTGCATACCAGAAAGCCACATTCGCGCTCCCCCACACCCTCGACGTCCTATGGCAAAGCCCTGACGCCGCTGCCCTCCCCCGTCGCCGCCCTCAAGTCGGAGGCCCGACAGAAATCGGAGGAGGCCCTGCCCCAACAGTCCTATTCCCACCCTTCCACCCCGACCCCTCACCCTCCCAGCCCTGCTCCTGCCTCGCCTCCGCCGCCGTCCCCCAGCCCACCGAAGGAGGAGACGATGGAAGAGGCAGAAAAGAAGAAGCTGGACTTGCCGAAAGAGGCCTCCTCACCTTTCCAGGCCCTGTTTCCTGGTAAGGTTGAGGAGTCTTCCCATTGCCTTTCAAGTTCTTCTCTACCTTTTTGAAAGTTTGGAATAATGTTCTAGGTAATGTTTTTGGGAAAACGGATTGGTGGACCAAAGACTCAGATTTGGTACTGTTTTCATACAGAATAATGAAACAGTCAAGAAAATAGTAATTGTAGAAATGACATGAAAGTTACTCAGTGCTTTTCCTGTGTTACATGTGAAGTCATGCCTAGTGCTGCTTTTGTTTTGCTTACTCAAAAATCTAAATGAATAACCCATAAGTTATCACTACAAAAGGGACTTGAACACAGCACTAGTTTCACTCCAGAGCAATGTACTGTGAACCAAAAGATCTATATTATGTTTTGTGTATGGGTCTCCTGACATTTGCTCTGAATACAGAAAGTAGATTTCAGAAAAAAACACATTTTTAATATGTTAGATGTAGAGTATAAATAGAATTTTATGCTTGCAGTAATGTGCTTGTGTATATGTATGCCGGAGCACAGAGGGGATTTGTTCTTGAGAAGGGCTATATGGCTCATGAAACTTTCATAAAGCCTCAGTGCTGAAGTATAAGCCTGTGATTAATCGTTTTGTCGCTCTGTCACAGGGAGCTTTAGTCCATTGAAACTCACTGGTTTCTGCATAAACTCCTGAAGTCTTGAACGCTCCTTCCTTTCTATGTTTTTATAGAAATCCCTCCAGGCTATCCGTACCAATCAATAACTGCCCCATTTGGCAGCCACTACCCCTACCTCCTTCAGCCAGCTGCTGCTTCCGAGGCTGACAGGCTGGCCCCCGATGTACCTCTGCCTGCAGAGACCTCGGAACACTTGGCTACCTCAGCCGATGTCAAGCCCCTGCATTTGCACTCCCCAACTGTGGTGGAGCCTCTGCAGGCCTCTTTGGAGGAAGAGCCAATGGAGGACCGGACAGCACTCAGGGAAGAGCCAGGCCTGGAAGACTGCAAAGAGGGCCTGAGCCACCCAAGCCACGTCGAGCTCCACAGCAGTGTGGACCTGGCTGAAAACACCAGCCAAGACCTAGATTTGTGTGCTGAGCAGGAGGGCCACTCCACTGGCATGGCAGCGCAGGAGGGAGAGGAGGAGGCCGAGAAGAGCGCGGAGGTGGAACAAGAAGAAGAGTCCCTCCAAAGCCAGCAGCCTTCGTACCAGGTGCCAGAATCCACAACTGAGCCTGGGCCCAAAGCAGAGCTGGAGGAGAAGCCAGCCTGCTCCTTGAACGCAGATTTCAACAGCTCCACGTCGTACTACGAGACAAAAGAAGAGTTTGAACACCAAAGCCAGAGCTTTTTACAGCCTGACAACACGAATCTTGAACCCGTTGCGAAGGAGAGCTTTTCCGAGCCTCCGGATGCGATGGAAGCTCCTTTCGAGGATATGCCGTTCAAGAAGGATTCCTTACCTCCACACCTGACTCCAGAGGGTACTCTGGACATCACGCCTGAAGATCCAATGGCAGGAATGATTGCCTTGGTGGCAGCAACCGAGCTGCCCCAGGCGAGTTCTCTCCCAGCCCTGAGCGACCCCCTGACCGCTGTGCTGGAGGGCACCTCGGGTTTCACCCGCCTGGAGTCCACTGCTCTCCAGGGGATCGCCCTGTTGAGCGAGATAGCCGAGCTGGAACTGGAGAGGCGCAAGACCGAGATGCACTGTAAGTTCTGTTGCCGTTTTGAAAAGAGGTGTTCCTGGGGGTGTGTTGTCTTTTATCTTCAGAAACGCAATAGGTCCTTCCTTGCCATTTCAGGTCCTAGTGCTTCACTGTTAGGCGTGATGGATTACGTTGAAATGGCTTGGTTGGAATGTTGAAGCTGACTATAAATTGATGGGAAGGCATTAATAAGATGGAGCATTGTACGGACAGAAGACACCCTTACTTCTTTTCTGAACTTGCTCGTCTAATTTGAACCACAGTGCCTCCTCACTGTGTACTGTTCGACAAATTAGGAAGTGATGCTCCGTTGCTTCTCTTTTAGATATTATCCAAAGAGAAAGGGTAGCATTTTCATCAAGCTTTTTGTACATTTGCAGGTATGATGCAAGGTGGCTTGGAGAGCCTTCTGGTTGCTGGCAGGCAGGTGTTAATGGAGGCATTGGAGTGTAAGCCTGCAGTTACCATTCGTCTCCCTAGAGAGCTCAACCCCAACAAGAAGTATAGCTGGATGCAGAAGAAGGATGAGCCTGTAAGCAGTTTGATTTTGTGGTGCAGCATATGTTATTCAGAAGATTTTTTTTTTTAGCGTTTGCATATATGTATGGATGCAAGCTGCTGGTTGTCAAAGTTGATTTCTTGTGAAGGATTTGCAGATGCATTTCCAAATCTTTTTTGTCAAGGGCCTTCAACTGCACGGCTGATTGGCGCAGACGTCTCTTCAAGCAGACTGTCTTATGCGTTTTGTAACCGTGGAGTGTTTTAAGCGTGTAATTAGAACAATTTAATTTGCATGCTTTCCAGGGTGGCAGAGGTGGTCCATTAAAACTTTAATGTTTCTCTTTTGAATTCTGACACTGCAGATAAAATGATTTTAGTTATTGTAATTAAAGTTTAAAGGGTGATACGCAACAAATGTGGCATAGTGGATTAAACTAGATGGTTACTAAAGGTTAGTGCTTCATGTTAACAGTTCCTGCATTTCTACCACTGGAAAATTAGTCTTTTTTTGGGAAGAAAATCTAAGTGTTCTAAATACCTTTTAAATGTGTATATATACCAAGCACGTATGCTTCCCTTTTTAAAGTTTTTCAAAGTATACCTTGTTCTGAATTTCATTGTTGGGCACACCAGGATAAATAGTGACCCGTTGTCTCTGTCAGTTGCTCTTGCCCATTGAAAGATTGAGGCCTGTTATTGAGGACGTGGCAGTTTGGGTCAAGTAAATGTTTTTTTTTTCCTTTCTCGATTCCCGTTTGACTACAGCTCTTCTCCATCAAATCAGCAATGGAAGGGATGGATGCCATGGAGCTGGATTACCGGATGAGACTAGCAGAGCTGCAGAAGAGATACAAGGACAAGCAGAGGGAGCTGGTCAAGCTGCAGAAACGCAGGGATTCAGAGTGAGTATCCCCCGCTGGCTGCTTGCAATTTTGGGGTTGTTTGTTTTTTTACGTAGAAGATGAGCTTTTATCGCCCTTTCAGAATCAACATGTTTATTGAAGAGCTGCTTCTTTCATATTTGTTTCACCAGTTTTTATTTATTCTTCTGGATAGAATACATGAAAGGTTAGCACTTAGGTACATTAATAGTTTGAGTTATTCATCTGCTTGTTAACTGTTGTATGAATTAAAATAATCTTTATTGTTAAGGATTATCACATGAAAGGCACTATGTATGATGTTTATTAAAGTTCATCTAGTGGTGTCATTGATTTTGTGCCCGTTTCTTTCAAGACGGCTTCATCTTGTATCATTAGGCAGAACAAGGTAGAAGATACTCCAACAACACAGTTAATTTTATTTGCAGTGATCTTTGTCAGTAGAACAAATGTGAGGAAGTGGCACATTGCTAAGTAAAAAGATGCAACACTCTTTGGTTTATTGAAGTTGTCCAACATGGTGTAAATCCTGTGGTTTGTTCTCACTGTAGGGAGAAGCATGATGAGAAGAACCGCAGTCTGGCCAAGAGAGGCCCGGGAAGGCCCAGGAAGAGGAAACACGGTCTCTGTGCTCTTTCCCCGCCCGCTGGAAGACTGGACACTAAGTGTGGAAAGTATGTGCTCACTCATTGCTGACCCAATAAAGACCAGCTACTTTTTAAGTTGGTGTGAAGTTAGCCGTTTTGTGGCAAGGCGTGAAAGGAGAGATAGTTGTCTGGGGTAATCTGATTTACTAAGTTCACCTTGCCAAGTAAATATTGACAGGAGCAATCTGAGGGATTCGTAAGGAAGTATTTTATTTTTACTAAATGTTCCATAAGATGAGCTCAGCTGGTTCCAATTCCTTTGAGCTGTAGTCCTTTTGCAGCTACCATGCTCAGCGTATGTAGTGCATCTCTTTATTTTTCCAAGTATTTGAACCCCCAAATAGAAAGCCACATTTATAAAAATGTACACATCACCAGCAGCCATATCGCCCAGCAACTCACAACTGGCAACCCACTGAAGCTAAGCAGGTGTGAGCCTGGTCAGTACCTGGATGGGAGACCTCCTGGAAAAAACTAAGGTTGCTGCTGGAAGAGGTGTTAGTGGGGCCAGCAGGGGGCGCTCACCCTGCGGTCCATGTGGGTCTTAATGCTCCCAGTATAGTGACGGGGACACTATACTGTAAACAGGCGCCATCCTTCGGATGAGACGTAAAACCAAGGTCCTGGCTCTCTGTGGTCATTAAAAATCCCAGGGCGTTTCGTGGAAAGAGTAGGGGTGTCCTGGCCAAATTTCCCATTGGCCCTTACCAATCATGGCCTCCAAATAATCCCTATATCTGAATTGGCTTCATTACTCTGCTCTCCTCCCACTGATAGCTGATGTGTGGTTCTGGCGCACTATGGCTGCCGTCGCATCATCCAGGTGGATGCTGCACACTGGTGGTGGTGGAGGGGAGTCCCCATTACCTGTAAATCGCTTTGAGTGGAGTGTCCAGAAAAGCACTATATAAGTGTAAACAATTATTAATTATTATTATTTGAATCCCCATTCTTTTGAAGAACAAAAAGACCATCCTACTTTTTCAATGCTCGTTTTGCAACGAATGCTGGAGAATGGCTGTTTCACTCCTCCTCGCAGGCTTGGGAGGAGTCTTCTGTTGTCCGAAGACTCGGAGACGGGTGAAGGAGGGAGGAAACGATTTCGTGGAACAAACGCTGAGGATGACGAGGATGTGGATAGTAGAATTGGGACATTCAAAAGGAGAAGCAAGAGCTGGAATGACCAGGAGGTGTCCTCGAGCTGCTCTCAAGAGGTTAGCTCTTTAGCCTGGGTTTTGAATGCTTGGTGGTTTCATTACTTTTGAAGGGAGTGTGGTTTTCAATTAATACTTTTTTCTACTTCCGTTTACTAGAAGTGTGAAAAGCAAGGCTGCAATGTGCTTGTTTTGCTGTTGTCGCATTCCAGTCATCCAAATGTTTTTTTTCTTTTTGCAATCTAATGAATGTAATGTAATCGTTCCCCCAACAGGTGCAGTTAAAAAGTAAGAAAAAGAAGAGAGTGAGTGAACAGGAGCAGTTAGCAACCAAACTGGACAAAGCCTTGTCTCTGACCAAACTCAATAAACTGAACAAGTCCCCTTTTAAGTTTGTAGATGGCTCCTCAGGAAAATTGAAAAGCAGCTCGGGAAGCTGCAACAAGCACATGATGTTCCACAAGATGGAGATGAAAGGCAAGGAAGGCAAGAAAAACCTCTCCAAAGGTCTTAGCCTCTTGCAGAAACCATCCAGAGGTAAAAACAAAATGGCCGCCAAAACAAAGAACATGGACCCTGAGATAAAGGTTAAAGGTCAGCTGAAAGCATCGTATTCTCCTGCTCGATCCGAAGTCAGCAGTTACTCATACAGTAAGTTTAAGCTCTTTGAGAGGTTGTCTTTTTTTAATCTGTGGAAGGTTTTCCTTTGCACAAGACCTAAAGATTTATGTGTTACAGGAATAAGAACGCACAATTTTCTTCGGTTCAAAGAATGTAGTTATAAGAAAATGGAGGTTAATGCATGACTGCACATTCCCGATTTCTGGTCATGTGCCTTCTGACAAATTTTTTGAAAGATGTATGATTTTATCCTTTATCACTGTGCAAGTGGTATCACAGTGCACTTTAAATCTTTGCTGCTGCTGCATTGTTTAATCATTTACTCTGAGATAAATACATTTTATTTTATTCTATGTAGTCAAATGTAGTTGTCTTCAACTTCAGTATCTCTGATTTGTTCTTATTTTTCCATGATCTAGATACAATATTGATGAAAATGACTGAATTTGGTGTGGTATAGCATACTTTCAGACTTTGGAGTACATACTAATTTAATGAAACACTCAAAATAAATGTAGTACTGATAACCCAAATTAAACCACAAAGTAGAGAGGTGTCCATGTTGGTCTCAGTTGGTCAAAGTGCTTGCTCCAGTTATCCAATTGGTGGTAAACTGCTTGTACTTCGATGCAGAGCTTAAACAGCTCTCTAAGCGGGCAGCCAGGAGGAAGCTACATATTCCTATACTCATAATCTACAAGTTAAACTGTAAAATTTCATGGTTTCCAAATGTGTAATACAGAAAAGCTCTTGGTTCAGTCTTTTTGACATATCTAGCTGGATTGGAAGGTGAAGTTTGTGTATTTGTTTTAGCTCTAATGTGTGAAATGTACTACTTTGTAGCTCTTGTTCGTTCTGCTTGTACTGTTGTAAAGAAAGGATGCATTTTTAGTATATCGTTGATGTGTTTTATCTTAAGGGGATGTCTGGGATCACTGCACAAATAGTGATAGAAGCAGAAGGGTCATGATGTATAACTAGGGGAGAATTGCTGTACTGTCCCATTGATACGATGCCTGTCTTTGAAAACAGATACTGACTCGGAAGAGGAGGATGAATCGATGAAGGAGGGATGGCCACTGCACTCCATGCTGAGTATCCCAGCAAGCAAGGCCCGAAGGCCTGGCTTGTACAGTTCTGTGTCCAAGAAGAGCCGACAATCGTGCAAGAGAGGCTTGCCATCAGGAACTCTCAAATCAAAACAGGCGGTCAGCAAGAAAAAACACAAGCACTTTGCTTTGCTGCTTCAGGAGGCAGAGGCCCGGTCTTCCTTCAGTGACTCTTCGGAAGACTCGTTTGACCAAGGTTACTAGACCAAAACCTCGATACGTAAAGAAAAAAAAAAAGATGGTAGCCCCGATTTTACTCCTTCCACCCCCAACAATGGTTGTGGCCATCATTGGTGGTGACCTCAATCTAAGGCGGCCATCTTTAATGTTGGCAGCATAGCCTGCCATTTTCTCTACCTGTATCACTGTGATTTATAATATTGGCTCTTTTTAGAGTCCCCCTTATGATTTCTTTTATTTGATTTTTCTTTTTTTTGTTCCTGTTTTTGCTTGGCCTTGTTCAGAGGCGTCAGTGGAATTGTAAATTGGAAAATGTTGTGTGGGTGTGTGAATAGCTTGTTCTTTGTACTGCGGTTTGGTATCAAGCTTTATTAAACATGTTGATTTCATTTTTAACTAAAAGAAAACAGTGTGCTTTGTCTCTCTTGCTGTGTCTCCTGTTAGGTTATTAGGTTGCTTCACTTCATTCCCAAATGCAGTTTACTGCTCTGTTATTCAAATATCCCTTTTTGTTAGACATTTGATAATCCTATAAAATTCCAAGCTGAAACTGCAACACTGTTTCAGTATTGGTCAAAGCAAATTTAAATATTGTGTGTCCAATCAGAAGATGACCTGTTGTATTGTAAAAAAAATGGTCAAAAAGAAAAACTAAAACTGAAAGCAAATTCTTACAATAATGAACACCAGTGATAAGACAACTAGCACTGGTAGTAGGCAAGAGTTAAATTTGATTATTTTCTTGATGTTCTGGACACCCTTGCTTGCTGAACACTAATACATTTAACAATTTTTTTTTTTACTAAATTCACTACAGTAGTAGCACATTCTTCTTTTCATTTAAAAGGGGAGGAACATGTGAGGAAAAGCTGCGTTAATGAGTACTTTGCCCTTTTGCCCACTTGTTACAAAACCCAGATTATGCAGATCAGCATGTAGCATGGTGCTAGTTATCTCAGCTGCTCAGCTGCCATCATCTTCTAGTGCAAAATTTCGTAAGAGTAAGGTCAAAGTAACCATATTTTAAATCATGAAGATAATTGTTTTTAGAGAAGGGTGCAAGAGTAATGAGGGCAATATGAAGCCTATCAGCATGTTTTATAGTTGACATAATGGGTGTTTGTGATCCTGTGGTGAGCTCCCCTACAGTAGAGGTGCTTGGTACAGCAACTGGTCGCAGCTTGGAATGACTCCAGCAAAGTTTTTTACTTGGATTGTCGGACTGCTCCTCTTTGGTCATCATGAAGGGATATTTGGACAATAGGGTACCTAATGGCTTTCCCTGTTTACTAAACAATGAATAACCTAGCTTTTCTAGATTGCTTGCTTTCTCCCTGCAGCTGCTTGGCCACCCCTCCACCTCTGACCCCCTCCTCCTACCCATGATGCTTTTGAATGTCTGTATCGGTCTATGCATTTGCTCATCCCTCTGCAAAAAAAAAAAGAGGCAAAGTGATTGGCTGGGAGTAGGGCAGACAGCTGCGCAGCACGAGGTCACTTTCCATGTCACCTGAGCCATGACCATTGCTCTGTAGGTAGGAGCATCACCCTTTTCTTGATGTAAGCTTTTGAATTTTAACATTTTACTAATCCCGCCTCCCCCAATGTACGCACATTTTACATCGCAGAAGAAAAGCTGAAACCTGATTTTTAATATTCCGTGGAGCCTATGAATGAGATGTTTGCACAAATCCTCTTGAATTTGTTTAATTTTTCAAATTTAACCTTGCCAAAGTTGTCAAAATGCCATGGTTATTTCTTTGACTAAGCATTCATCAAAACCGATCTCTTTGGTATTCGAGAGGGCTTCTATGAGTCCTTAAATCCGGTTTTAGGCAGGGATTGGAAATTGTCTTTCTACCATGGCCAGGCACAAGAGCCCGAAGTTTACACCCATCTTTGAGATCTTATCCTTTACTAATCCCTTTCTAATTAAAATAGAGACCTGAAGTGAGTTATAAAGAGCAGGCAGGAACGTGGTGCAGAGACTGAACACTCAGCATGAGGAAACGTGCTTTTTATTCCCTCTGTAAAGAATCTAAAAAGTGCCGTCCTTAAAGATGAATAGGAATAAACACTTAAAAATATGGAATGTTTTGGTGAAATCCCTGGGGTATTTCCTTGTTCAAGAAGATGCTATATTGAAGAAATGGCAAAGTGAATGGGAGAATTAGGATCTCTTTTGTATATTGTTTTTCCATAACAGAGGTTTTTCTGGGTTGCGGCCTTAAAAGTGCTAGTTAGTCATTTATTTAATGAAGGTGAAATATGAATTTCTAATTGAGAAGATGGCTTATTCCTTAACTGTTTTTAAACTAAAAGGTCTGTGAAGTTATTCTCAATTTGCCTTATTTCACATCATAATCTTCCCCATAATGGCTCTGTGCATCTTCATACACAGTGTGAAAAACTTCATCACTAATTCCTAAATGCATCATCCTGCGTCCTACTGCCAGCAGACCAATACAATTTTAATTTGATGCTGTTAATGAAGATCCTAAAGAACTGGGTTAGGAGTCATGGGTGCTGGACAAAGATGGGGAATGCTCTGTCAAATAAAGGGAGCCTGTGGTTTTCTCCTGTAAACGGGTTGTGGTTTCCATGACTGAGGTTAAAGAAGGCTTTACTGTTTGCGCAGATTTTGTCTTCTCAAATGGACGTTTGAAACGCTGCTGGTTGGGGTTGCAATTCTCCGAAAAAGAGCATTCATCTTGAAAAAAAATGTTTTTATATTTAGATTTTAAGTCAAAACACAGTGGATTTCCAGCAGCACGACCTCAAACGTTATTTAGAAGCATTTATAATTATATGACTTGAAATGATTGAGTTTCAGCGTTTTGTTTTATAACAGTAATTTACAAAAGTAGATGTTCCTCCATGTGTTGTGAGATCAGCTATGTGCAAAAGCAGATAGAGACCTGCATATTGCAACCTTTTTTGGAAAGGAGTTATTTGGTTCAATATCCTAATGCAGGCAAAGTCCATCAGCATGAAAATTGGGGAAACAACCACTTTAGAGTGTGATACGATTAAGGTGATGCAATGTTTCTTTTCTGGAAGCTAGAATGATACTTTCTCCAGTTCCAGCTCTTTAACACTTCCAGTGTATCAGTTGATGCAGAGGCCCATCAGTGGCTACAAGCTAGTCATTCTTGTAGGTTCATCCCCATTTGAAGTTTAAACAGTGCAAAGGACACTAAACCTCCATATTGACCAGAGCACTGGTTGTGAGTTGATATAATATTTTAATCTATTCATGATGCTTGAAATAATGCACTGCCATAAATATCAATGTAAATCAGTCTCGTAGTCTGTATAACTTATTTTCTGGACTTCATTATTTTTGCTGAATTCCTTTGTCCTTCTCGAACACAAATTCCCCCCACTCACTATGACAGTATTAGACTGTGAAGCATGATACATTTTTACAGGGGCAACTGTTTTAAAGAAATAACCATGGCTAAAAAGGCCAGAACTCCAAAACAACTCTCAGATGTACAGTACTCTTCAACTGTTCATTAGTTTGCATTTGAAAGGCACTAAGAATGATAACTAACAAAGACCCCAGAAGCTGTGAAGGTCTGCCTGCACACAGCCTGCTTTGTTTGCTGTAGGCCTGCTTGAATTTCCTTAACCATATATATTTTAATTGTTTTTATGTTTAAGAAGAATGTGCTCTGTCAAAATCATGGTGCTTCAACTTAATTGGTTTTTTTTTTTATTCCAAACGTCTCCTGCTTTTAAATCCTCTGTTTACTTCTCACATTAACCTGTACACCTTCTGCTTATTAAATGCTCTAACCAGCATCTGGCTGCCAATAACCTTGAATGTCGTGTTCTAAGATGTTTTTCTGTCTATGTCTATTAATGTGTTTTTCATTAGCTAATGAAGCTAAATGTGTGGGATCTTGGGTTAGTGCTACTTATTGTTTGTAGCATCCAGTCCTTGAAAATGCTCGACAGCTCTCCTCCCCACTTGTGACAAGCTTCTCTTAGAATTAACTGTTAATAATTTATGTCTCCTTTAGTAAGGATTTCTGCTTGCAGCAGATATGTTTTTCTTTTTTTTACCCCATTGTTGTGTTCATTCAGCTAAATCAGCAAAGAGTAGCACCAGCCTTTCTTGTCAGGTCTTGCTTTATTTGTAGCTTTGCATCACAAGCCTTTTACTTTACAAAGATGCTGAATAGCATGCACAATAAAATCCTGCTTTAATTCCCCTTAATTCTGTTGTATCTACTAGATGCTGCCCACCCTGCTTGTCACACTGTTTCAGCATTGAACTAAGCTTAGTTCTTGTACTTTAATCATTTTTATTGGCAAGATAAACGCCTGTATAAATACAGGAACACTTTATCCGGGCTAAATTTAGCTTCTTCGGCACCAGATTACTTTGACAGATGAGAACCATGTTGACATATTCAGTGAGCAAGTAGCCTTAAAATGTCTGTGGTAGTATGACAGAAAATGCATGTGTGTTACATTATTGTAGGCGACATTGTGTTTCAGTGTACATCTGTTCTGCATGACTGTATGTGTTTGCATGCTTCTTTTTTTCCAAGAATACTCTTTGAGCAAATCCAATAACACTCATGGCAAATAGTAATCTGATCAGTCAAAACCAGTTTAAGATTGGATAGAGCTACATGCTGCACGAGTTGGTTTAAAACAGAATTTTTTTCTGAGGCAAATCTCAGCTGTCAAGAAGTCTTTCAAAATGCCAGTCTTAACTACTGTTAATTTTTTCCTCAAATGTTTTATTTTTGTGAATAGTGATTCAGGGGAAATATAACGATCCCCACTGATCCTTTTTACACGTAGGTGTCAAATTGTAAAGCTCTTTTGTGGCATTTTTACGCTTCTCTCTCAAAGTTTAAAATATAATCTGTCTTAAGCCGACTCGTGTACGTTTTGCATGGACCAGCCCCCTTCTGTCAAGAGTGCCTTGTGTGAATTTTTTTTTTCTTCTCTGTTGGCAGATTACACCTCTGAGAAAGAGGAGGATGACGACGAAGAGTATGACTACGAGATAGAGAGAAGTGATGGCCTCTGCTCTCCCTCTCTGGATGAGAGTGGGTTAGGGCTGCTCGCTCGGTTTGCCGCCAGTGCCATGCCCTCCCCAATCATCTCTACTCCTCTCTCCGTCGTTCAGTTAGAGGCCAAACAGAAAGCTAAGAAGAAGGAAGAGAGACAAAGCCTTCTGGGTAATTAACAACTCGTATGCCAATGAGAATGTGCTCTTCATGACATGTAAACCCTTCTCTTTTTGCCTTGGTGATCAGATTTCCTCTGCTCGTTCCATACAGCCAAGCCATTTGATTTCTGTGGCCTTTGGCATGCATTTCAAAACGCTGGCTTTCATTTTCATCTGCGTCCTGCAGTCTTTTCACATTATTGTTTCCATTTGGAGTGGGCAATTTTTGTGTTTTACCAAATGTTGAAAGCAAAGTGGGGTGGCGAGGGGGGGTCTACAAATTTCAGAGAATTCTGTACTTCTGTGTGGCACATCCTCATAGAGAGAGAAGCTCACAGACAGCAGTTTGGTGAGAGAGAGTAATGAGTGTGTGATGGTGCCAAACATTTGATCAAGTCTGATGCAGGCGTGCCTCACATTAGCAACCGAGTGGATGTTTTTTTTCTCTCAAGCTCCGTACCACAATGATAGCACATTCATTCTAAGTAAAATGAATGAGCTAAGGAAATAAACCTGTACCAGATTGCACATCTGGCTGATGAATCTTGAATAATTTCTTCTGACAGGGGGGAGAAAGTACACAGTTTATTGAAGGGCCAGTAAGGGATCTAAAAGCTCTATGGTTCCTGAACAGTGCAGCTTGTGCCGATCAAATAATGCCTGGGAGCCAATACGCTGACCTTTCCAAACAGATGGTCCATCAGTGAAGTCACTCTCCAAAACAAGGTTCTTATGTGTTCATAGCAGAACAGCTATTTTCTGAAGCGGGCTGTCGCTTTTTGCCTTGGTTCTTCAGCATGCAGGAGGCAGTGTATAACAAAAAAAAAAATCAGTGCGCATTTCTTGTACCATTCATGTCTAGGGAAAAAAAAACACGTTTATTCTCTTTTCTTTAGCTGAAGCGGCACTTCCACTACATAAAAAAGCAAATTCTGATGGTTGTGCACAGAGCCCATTGTTACAGCTATGGCTGGTTTGCACTGCGCCCTTTGCAGTAGCATTGAGTTGGCACACACTCACAGTTTGCAGGGACGCCTACAGGGTGATGGTCAGTCTTATATGAGCTCATTTGGCTTACAGCGATCTAACACAGTCAGAGCTGTAGTCACCAGAAGGCGCACAAGACAGCCTCAGAAGAGAACAAACCCGACTCAAAAGTGAATCTGCCTGTCTGTTTATTGCCCCCAAGAACATATGGAAAATGCAAATTCCAGAAAGTTCCAAGCAGCACGTTTTTTTCATTGGAAAAAAAAAGGAAAGGTGAAAAGTGGCAATACAATTTGCGTGAACTTCTCTCCCCAACTGGTTTGGACTCTTAAAGCAGTCGTGATAGCTAATCTGTTTGTCTTTAGCTAATGAATGAAACCCAATTCCCAACCAACAGGCAAAGGGGATTTCTGGGCTTCGTTTGAAAAAGCCGTCAGGTGGAACGGTTGTGCGTCTGCCTGTGTCTCGGTAGCAGATGTGCACGAAAAGATCGTTGCCACTCATTTTGTACATGAACAGATTGTTTGCTTTTTTTAATTTCTGAAGTAAAAAAAAAATCAAGAAAACTCTTTGGCGGTGGGCTGTCTACATGTTGAGACAGTTTGCCACCTTTGTTTTTCCTTTTTCAGTCAGGGTGCTATTGGAAGCACCCTTTTCGTGACACCTTTACTTCTTCCCTCCCGCAGGAACGGAGTTTGAATACACGGACTCGGAGAGCGACATCAAAATCAAGTCCCCTTCTCTGCTGCATGGCAAGAAGGCCGGGCCAGAGCCGTCACTGCCCTCGACGGGAGATGTGCTAGAGGAGGCAGGCCCCAACAAGCTCAAGATGGCCGAGAAGGGCAGGAAGCCAAAGAAGGTGAAGTCTCCCAGGGAGTTCAGCTTCGACTTCGGGGCTGAGGGCAGTGACGAGGACCGCTGGACACGCCGGAGGAGCGAGAGGATCTTCCTCCATGACGCTACTGTTGCCACCCCTGTCTCGCCATCAGGCAGGAGCCCTACGGCCCCCCTGCCCCCCAAACCTTCTCGCTTCCCCAGGACTGTGCCGCACAGCCCCAAGAAAGAAGCCGGCAAAGTAAAGGAGGGAAAAGATGCTCCTAAGGTAAGCTTGCTCTCCGAGTGTCGTTCACTCTTGCAATGCGTTACAATGCGTCACATACCACCACCCGCTGCCTCCAAAACAACTGCTGAGCCTGGGCTTACATTGCATATTTCACAGCAGGTGTCCTACAAGGCTTCATAGTACAACAGGCGTCCAACTGAGCATAGCTTGCAGCAAAAAAGAAATTGGAATTTGGAATGATCCAGGCTGAGATTTGCCAGTGATATTTTTTTTTTATGTTCCGCCTCCTACCTCTCACTCTCTTTCCTCATCCCCATCTCACCTGGGACGCAGTAGAAGTGACTTCACACCATTACATTACAACTAGGTTTAAGTTGTTTGTGCCACCTTGCCCACGAGGTTTTATTTTGAATCCGTTTACTATTAGACCAAGCATGCCTGCCAACATGAAGAAAATATGTTTGCCCCAGCCAGACCTATATAGTGATATGAAATGACCAAGATCTGTGCATTTGAAACCAAGTGGGGAAAGGAATTTTAAAGAATGTTACCAGTTTTTGTCTTTCGTTATATCCCTGTGGCTTATTAATAAAAATACATTTGCACGCAGTTTGTCTGGAAGAAGTGAGTGACAATCTTCCCTGTGGATCCTCACTTGAGCCTGTGCCGTTAGCTTTCCTTTTATATTTTTCAGAAGAAGAAAGGTAAAGAGAGTCCTCTGTGTTTGTCACCCCCCCAGCTCTCCAGCACCCCCTCAGAGGGGCGGGTGTGCTTGCCCTGCCCCCCTTCAAGCCCCGGGAGGAGGAGCAAGGGGAAGACCAAGGCCAGAGAGGTTAAAAAAGAGGTAAAGTGCAAGAAGTGGGCCGTGCAACACACACAACCCCAGACAACAGACAGCCCCCGTGCTGCTTTTGTATTACACAAAGCATTGATGTTAAAATCGAGGTTTGTTTGAACTGATATCCAAAGACGAGATTCCCCTTCTGGAGTCCTGCACAAAACGTAATGTCCAAATAAAATGTAAAGCTGCAAGCCCATAAATATGTGGTACACCTAATCGACAGCACAGTCAAAGCGCAGAATGGTAGACACCAAACCTTTTTCTGATCTTGAAAAATAATGCGTCCTGACCTATCCTTTGCTAGGGCAGTGGGTGTTTGAATGAGCACTAAACAGAGCTGTCGTCTCAAATGAGCCCCATCAAGAATCGAAGTTATTTCAGAGAGTTTTGCCAATGTGCAAAGTTAATATACTGAAAAGACTTGCGGCTGCAATTGCTGACAAAGGTGCTTCTGCCAATTATCGTGTCTAAGGGTCTCACCATATTTGAGTTTTTTCCCTTTGGTGGTTGCTGACATTTACCATACCTTATCTTACCCTTGGAAGTTTTAGTTAGGAACGGTCTGAATACTTTTGCAAGGCACTGTTGTAAGTATTTTGTCCATTAATATTTTTAACAAGACGTGCACTGTGGAAAATGAGGAGAGAAATGAGGGAATGGGGTCTTTATATAGATTTTTAGCACTTTTGGGTTTATTTAAATATTATGTACCTTCCTCTCATGAGTTTCTGATGCATGCCAGAAATCCGCCCCCTTACAAAAAGAAGAAAAACGAACATGCATAGTGACTTGTTACCACATGCCAACTACAGAACCTTCCTTTGACTTCGCAGGAGAAAATGGTCCTTTCCAAATGATTTCCTGAACTTGAGTGTTCCTGATGTGCGGCAGGCCGACTTAAATGCGTCTATATCCAGCGCCTTGTGTTTGGCAGATCTGGACCCAGTGTGTTCTGGTGTGTCTTCTGTCCAGCAGGCCCGGGGGAAAGGAGGGGCAGTGAGCAAACTGATGGAGAGCATGGCAGCCGATGAGGACTTTGAGCCCAGCCAGGACAGCAGCTTCTCCGAGGATGAGAACGTCCCACCAAGTGCTCTCACAGACCGGCCCAGCACCCCTGGTGAGCCTGAGTCTCCTGTGCTGCTCCTCTGAATGCCAGCCACACTGAAACCCCATTACACATCATTGACATTCCGAGCCTCACATAGAGTGGTGCTGCAGTTGTCTTGTCTCCTTTTGTTCTATTATTTTACACTGCTCGCATTCCAAGGAGTGTTAGAAAACTGTTTGTGCATTAGCTACAGCTAGGGAGAATGCCTGTGTTTCATATCAATTCAAAATCAATGGACCAATGTTTATTTTGTGCATGTATGGTAAAAATACATTGACACAAGCTCATGAAGAACCCCTCATTAATAAACCAACAAATCCCCATACTAACATAAGCGTCCAGGCGTAGATTCGGTACCACTGGAATGTTAATCGCAGACGGCTGTCAAATTTGGATTTAATTTTAAGGCGCCTGAAATAACTGACCTGCCAGGGAAGTCCGTTTTACAAGTTCATAAAAAAGCAAGAGGGGCAGAGTTCAGAATACAGAGGCCCTGGGGGAACAGGGAGAGCAGCCTTTTGAAAGTGGATTGGGGATGCCCCCTAGAGGGCTGAGGGCTTCTTTACACACCAGGACATCCAGGCTGTGGCGCTGTAATTTGTTGGTCTTGGTGCTTCGGGACAGACGGGCCCTGCAGGCCCAGAGGTCAGTTCGGGAAACAAGATCCCCTTTGTACAGTCAGACCATTCGCAAGACATTTGTCCGCTTCTCAGCCTGAGTTTCCCCCCTGTCTTGCAGCTCCTCGCAACTGTGTCATCGACAAGGACGAGCTGAAGGATGGCCTGAGGGTTCTCATTCCCATGGACGACAAGTTGCTCTACGCCGGCCACGTCAAGACCGTTCACTCGCCAGACATGTAAGCTGAAGGAGATCCCCCTACAATGTCCCATCAGGTTGACTGCATCTGGGCTGCGTTTGGCTGCCCGTTTCTGCAAGTGAGCTCTTCCTGCTTCTGTACCCGGGAGCAATTAGGATGAGGGGAAACGCTGAAGTGAAATGGCTTACAGGCGTAAGCAGGAAAGGGCAGAACCTGCTTTAATTGTTGGCAGTGCAAGCTGGAGAGTTCATTAGCTGTTCAGAAAACCTGTCGAGAGCTGTGTAACAAACCCGCTTCCAATTCCACACGTCCGGATCCAAACGGAACGGTTGTGCCTCCGATCTGCCGCATTTTTGGGATATTGCGTAGCCCGGTCCGAAGGGATGTCTGAAATTTTTCTTTTGTGTCTAATAATGGGCAGTTGTTTTCAAGACGCTTCATAGTTCTTGTTGTAAGACATGATATTGAGGCTTGTGTATTATATCCTGAAAATGCATGAGCAGAGAGAAGGAGGATGAGCAGCCTTTGATTGCTCCTCTAAAAAGTGCTGGAACATAGAATGTGGAACTAATACAATAATGCAGATCTCTCACTGGACAAGGGATGTTTCTTAATTCATTTCTAAAACCAGGGATGGGCAATGCTGGTCCTGGGAGGCTGGTGTATCTACAGGTCTTGTAGGTATCTTCAAAGCAGCAGCACCTGAAAAGCTGGGCGAAGCTGTTAAACTGGTCCCATTAAGCCAGTAACGAGCTGATTGGAGTCCTCAAAAGCGGAGCTCGAAAGAAAACCTGCAGACACGCCAACTCTGCACAATCAGCATTTGCCATCCCTTTCTTTGAGCAGTCAGCCTGTTCCAAAGTTCCTGCATACCTCAAATCTCCTGTCCCGCACCCCATAAAACACCAGGTTCTCTTTGTGAACTGTGCAGGAGTTTACCTTGCCCTCTAGGCAGCCCCCTAATAAAAGAGGCTTCACACCTGGAATATAGTGCTTCTCTTGGCACACTTTAAGTAGCAGATGTAATTGTGAAAATTTTAAGAGCTGTGACTTGGCTAGAATCTGGCCATTATAAAAAGGAGCATTTGAGCAGTCCTTAGATTAGTCTTTTCCACTAGGCTGTAGAGTAAGTAGAATCGGGATTGTACCACATTTGTATTTTGAGCTTGTTTTAATAATGGTATGTTTCTCCCAGTCCCAATATTCATTTAATGGATATTTGGATTTTCATTATATATCTCATGAAGATGGTGGAGGCTAGATTCCAGAATCATTGAACAAGTTAGTCTTAACTTTATCTACGAAGGCTAAGGGACTAGGATTACTTTAAAAAGGAGGTTTGACAAGGTCATAGGTGATTTGAGGCAACACACTGTGAGAGCTTAATATGCTATCAAATGAGGACAGTGACCTGTGGTTTAATTTAACTAGGTGTGAAATTTCTCTGAAAGAGGCAATTGGAGCATGAATATAAGATGAAAATTTTGAAAGGTATTCAACTGCATTTTCACTAAGACTTCCACCCCGTCATTTCCTTGTACCTTTAAAACTTTGTGTTTGCAGCCAAAATTGGATTTTACTGCTTTCTTTTATTTACAATATAATTCTTATATTTGATAAGTTTATCCTCCACTTCTTGGGCTTATCTGTTTGGTAATCATCCATTTTGTGTTTTTGAGTCAGACTCTGTGAATCTTCACGTTATCCAATCCACCCAATATCTTATGCCTCAAAGAGTTTGTTTGTATGTCATTTGTATTTTCCACCTCACATGTTTTCTGTGACTGCTAAAACGGTTCTGAAAAGATTACATATCCCTACGGAAGACTGAGGCAGACTGTACTCAAAAGAATATTGAATGTTACAGTTCTGCTACAATCCAGCTGCACATTTATATATCACATTCTGCTATTCATAAAAACACTAGGTGTGGGAAGGATTAAAAAGTAATTTAAAGCATTGAAAGTCCAAGTGGGTGCATTTTTAGTTGAGATGACAATCCATGTGAATCCGTGTTTTTATATATGTGTGTAGTGTCTTTATTAGTTTGTCTCTTGCTTAGTAGATGAATGCATTAGACCCCTGTCTCAGGGAGAAGATCGATAAATCTGCAGGCATCAAAAAGGAAATATCTACAAACTGTTGTTCCCCTTTTGGAGTCCTTAATGAGCTGACATTAAAAAGATCAATACTGAATTAAAACTCAGAACTCCGTGGAACAAAAGCCCTCCCTTATCTCTGCCTGAGCCTATCCTATCATAAGCGCCCAATTGAAAGTTCACAAGGGGAGCCATTGCCAGGGGCTTTATTGTGTGTCTGATATCCGGTGCTTGCTGATGACCGTTAATTCTGGGTAGTAGTAAACTAATTTCAGTTTCTCTTCCCATTTCATGAACTTCCGTTTGTATCTCATTTTAAGAATAGAAAGTTGTTTTAGTGTATAGGAGTTACCTTCACATCAGAAATAATAATAATAATAACAACAACTATTATTATTATTATTATTATTATTATTGCTTACACTTATATAGCGCTTTTCTGGACACTCCACTCAAAGCGATTTACAGGTAATGGGGACTCCCCTCCACCACCACCAGTGTGCAGCATCCACCTGGATGATGCGATGGCAGCCATAGTGCGCCAGAACCACACATCAGCTATCAGTGGGAGGAGAGCAGAGTAATGAGGCCAGTTCATAGATGAGGGATTATTAGGAGGCCATGATTGGTAAGGTCCAATGGGAAATTTGGCCAGGTTACACCCTTACTCTTTTCGAGAAACACCCTGGGATTTTTAATGACCACAGAGAGTCAGGACCTCGGTTTTACGTTTCATCTGAAGGACGGGTGAGTTACATTGATATCTGTAAAGTTTGAAGTTCAGTATTTCGAGAACTAGCACAGAAGTGACGAAGTTAGCATGCGTTGTCCTTATCCTAGCAGGATGGATCCCGTATGGAGATTTATATTCGTTGTGGATTAGTCTCTCATTGAGAAGCACCTCGCGCAACTGCTTCCAAATCATACCATCTGGAAATCCCAATTTGTTTCCCACATATATAGTTTGCAAAACAAACAGCTTGCTTTTAACTCCCGTGAGTGTTGCACCTCCAATCGATGCATTAAAACAAAATCAATATTTAATGTATAATATTTCATATAATAAACTTATAGCCACTGTTGATAACAGAGTATAATTTCATTATTAATAGTGACATGCATAGTCCTTGCTTAATTAAATGAGAATCTTGGTAATTTTCTGGTGCTTTAGCTCTGCATGTAGTGGCCTGGTTCAGACTGTAGCTTCAGTAATGATTCTCAAAGGAAAACTCCCCATTCCTATTGAAGTTTCTTTCAGTATTCCATGCACAGCGGCACAGTTTTGCTCAGATTACTGAGCATCTTACTGCAGATGGGAATTTTTGCAAACCCTTTTCTGGAATGGAAATGTTTTGACGATTTTGGTGCTTTTTTCTCCATGATGTGCATGAAGGTCGTGATGACCTACTTTTCCATGGAATGGAGAATTTGAATGCATTATTAATAATCACAGTTACTAGCATTTGTGCTGACCTGCTGTGTTGTTATTTTATCTAATGTCTTTGTTACTGCTGCTTTAAATTCTGAAGATGAATCAGTCTTGAGAGTTTTTTTTTTGCCTGAAGCTACGTTTAACTTTTTGCTTCAATGATCGTTACGGCTCACATCTAAAACAAGGATTCCTGGCTAGCTCAGTGCTGCTGCTTCTGGGTGTGATTGGAATATTACTTAACCCTGCCCATCCTGTTAATCATTGTACTTCATTTGTTTATGTCACAGATCAATATTCTGGATAACAGATTCTTGTGATAGACCTGCCACATGCATTCATCATGTCAGTAAGGTATTTAGACTCTGGAATTGTGCCTATTTTAGAAAACGTGCTTTAAGACAAAGACCACCTGAATATACATTGCTTATAGAAATTATACTATCTATACTGTCTTAAACATACTTCACATTTTGCTGTACTTTGCGCCATTATTTCCCCTTGTATCCTGACAAGGGTCCCTGTCGTGAATAACATCCCCATGACACGATGGTGCTACCATTATACATTGCAGTGGGCATGGTGTTCTTTGGATGATGTTGTGTGCTGGGTTTGTGCTAAACGTAATTCATTGTATTTAAGCCAAATAGTTCCATTTTAGTTTTGTCAGGCCACAGTAGATTTTGTCATATGTTTACAGTTTTACTGTTAATGCTTGGTAAGTGTTTTTCATCAGTAATGGCTTCCTTATTGCCTTAAATTTGTGGAGTGCTTGGGATATTGTCATATGCACTTTGACCAGTCTAGGCCACAAAAGCCTGTAGCTCTTCCAAAGTTGCCATATTCCTCTTGGTAGCCATTCTGATCAGTGTCCTGCTTGCTCGGTTATCCAGTTTGGAGGGGTGGTCTGATCTAGGCAGGGTCTTTGTGGTGTTTAACACCTTCCATTTCTAAACAATCATCTTGTTCATGTTCCAAGGGATATCAAGGCCTTTGAAATTGTGTATACCCATTCCCTAATCTGTGCTTTTCCACAACTTTTTTCTGTTTTTTTTTCCTTGGTGCTCACAGCTTGAGTCTTTGCTTTGAAGTGCACTACCCAGAAAAGAGAAATTACCAGAACGGTTGAATTTATCCTTAAATCATGTGATTCAGTACAGTCTAACACTGGAGGAGGCCAATTAACGTGGTGTGTGGTTTTGAAGTCAATTTGTTACACCTGAGCTAATTCAGGATTGCTATTACAAGGAGGGCACTTATCCAACCATGCTATTTCAGTTTTATTATTAATTTTCTAAATTTGTAAACAGAAATGAAAAAAACATTTTTAATTCCAGGTGGTATAAACTTTCTGTCCACACTTAATTGGCTTACAAAGATCTGCTGTGTGTCATGGCCCAGTCACTTTCTAAACTGAAGGGAGACATAGGTCACTAATCACTAACTAAATGAGTCTGATGGTCTAAAGCAAGACCCTAGTAAGCATAGATCAGAAGCACACAACCAGCAGACTGTGTTTGTGTATCTGAGCTCACAGAGTGAAATGGCCCAGGATGATGGACCACTCTAGAATTCTCAAGAGCTGTTAGATCCCCAGTGTCAGGAAAGCAGTATTCTGGATTTACCAGTTTAAAAAGTTGAGACGTTTCTCCTAAGGTGCAGGTTTGGATCTGGGATGTGTCCACATAAGCAACAGTGGATCCATGGCATGGATCTAGTCAACTAGTGCTGTTGAATAGAAAAGTCAAAAGAGACTAATTGTGCATTTTGAAGCCCTTAGGCTGATGACACTCCCATCGGTACTATGATTTTCAAGTTCCCTGTGTCAGGAGCATTAGTCTCTTAGTGCAGCCAGTCTGACTTTTATTCAAAAGCGTTCCTAAAACGGTGGCTTGGATCCAGGATTCAACCGCATGCAGCCCTCAACTAGAGTGAGATGCATGGCACAGATTTAATGGGCATAGAATTTCTCTTTATGGGACCACCCACAGATGGATGGCCTGGCTGCATTGTGGATTAAATGGGGATAATGTCCTCCTCAACCTTGCGATTGACTTACATTGAGCTAATTTGCGCAACAGTCTTAAATTTAAGTACTTGAGGGAAAAGCTAAGGGAGATTTTAATTTAAGGTGTTTTCGATAACGTGCTGCAGGGCTGTGACATACATGAAAGTGAACAAACATAAAGAATGTTGACTGTTTTATCACTGGATAGAGAAGTTTCAGAAGGTTTGGTAATTGTGTCTGACAAGCCATTGAAAAAATAATTGGGATTATGAGGCTCAGTACCAAACTGATGGGCTGCTAGTCATTCAAATCCTAACTCACACACAGACAGATGCTGGGTAAGCAAGGCCTCAATCTTCTTGATATGGTTCATTTTTCCTTTGGGAAAAGTGATCCAAGTTAAAACCCTTCTGACAAAATGAGCTCCTGGAAACCTGTAGGCCCAGCGTTCCCTTGGTGACGGTACAAGACGACTGTTTCATCGGACGTCCAATCCATTTCATTTTCATGGGAAACGAGGGGTTGTGAAGAACTGTAGCCAGACAGAAAACAAATACTCTTGTAAAATGAAGATGTTTGTGTATCTATCATTATATTTATAATATAAATATTATCATTTATAATTTTAATGATTATAGAAGAGGTAAAAATAAAACGGGAGACTGCAATCCAGTATAATAGTGTTGGTTTTCAAACACATTGAAAACAAGCAGGAGCTTAAAGATGCATATCATCCAATTTGGAATATGCGCTAGCTCTTATTCGATTTTTTTTCTAATGGTTGTCATGTAAAAAGTGGGGTTTCTGAATGTGGAATACATGCCTGGCAGTGGGTTCTGCTAATGAAAAACCACAAGATGTGCTGTTGATCTGATCTGCACTGCGGAGTAACAGAGCTCCCTGTTGAGTTGCATCAGTGCCTTAAAAGAACATGATAGTGGCAAGCCGTTCATCTCCCAGAGCTGTAAGATCTTAAATTACCCAAACCCCTAAGACATAACTGATACTCAGTTCCTAACAATTCCTCCAGCTTTCAGAACTGCAATCCAAAGAGCCACCAGTCATGGGCCATGTGGACTGATGCCTGTGGTGTATAAGCTTAAGGAAGCCACTATCAACATAAAACTCTAAATCAAAGTAATGGAGCTGTCACTGACTGACAGATGTCTCCTTAGACTGGTGTTTGACATCTACAAATCAGAGAAGCTCCCTAGCCATGTCCTTCTGATGTACCTTGTTCATGTGACAATTAGGAAACCTGCCAGAAATAAGACTTTATGATGAAGTTCTTCATCCCTTTTGCTTCCAGCAAGGTTTTTTCTTTGTCTCCCAGAAAATCTTGCGATATAATGCAAATTGACAACTGATTGGCTTCAGACGAGGAAGAGTTGTGCTTTCAGAGCCCAGTCAATATTCCCCCAGCTTTGCTCACGAGACAGATGTATTCCTTGGCCTGATTTCCTGTAAAAGCAAATCTTTGTTTTGGATGTAATTCTCCTCACAGCATTGTCAGTGGAAGCAAATATATTTTTTAAAAGGAAAGTCTAAAATGTTTAATATGTCTTTAAAACAAAATCTCGTCTTACCGTACAAGAAATCTGATGTTTCTGGGGGGAAAAATGAATCGGGTGAAAACAGTAATATCAGTGAGTGATAGCAAAACATAACAGGTCCCTGAGGGAAGAGTTAGGCAAGGATAATTCAGCCTGTAAATTTATGTTCTAAGTTTTGAAATAAAACGAAAAATAACCTCACCTGCAAAATGATGACAACTCTCACATTTTTCCCTGTGATTTATGTGTATTTATAAATATTTCTGATGACTCTTCAGTATTTTCATTTGTTAAAAAAAAAAGTAGTGTCAGGGGTTTTTGAGAGAAAACAGTTGTCTTAAGTTTCTTTTTTTACTTCTCCTACCCAATCCGTAATCTTCTGAAGCTGGTTAACAAAGAAATAACCATCAGTCTTGGGGATGAACTTATCAGGCAACTCAGTGTTTCAGTAAATCTCCGAGTCTCCCCCTAATACCCAGTAAGATCTTGCCCTCTCGGGGAACGGCTGTACGTGAACAAGTTGCCAGCACAAGTGAAGTGCTCTGGGGTATTCTGCCTTAACGTTTCAGCTCAAAGGAGTGTTTGTTCCTTTATAGAGCTCTGGCTTAGCATTAAACCTGTGCTGGAACCTTCTAGCTCTGCCCTTGTTTAAAATTTAACTCTTCCTATCCCTAATTTAAAACAGAACGGAGGGGGAATGAATGGCTTTTCTGGTACAGTGGTTGGAAGTGTAGCACTCTGTTCTCAGTCCTGTATGAAGGACCATCATAACCAAAAACATCTTGGCCTTTGCGTGAGCTGTGATTTTTCGTTTGTTCACCTCATAACTCATTAATGTCTGGTTTTTCATATCCCAGCCAGGCACGTTGGTGTTGTCGGTGCGGTGCGCCGTCTGAAATGAATCTGGGATTTGTGTTTTTTCAGTTACAGGGTCGTAGTAGAGGGGGAGCGAGGAAACAGGCCTCACATCTACTGCCTGGAGCAACTGCTGCAAGAAGCAGTAAGTAACCCCCTTTTCTGAGCACATAGGCGGGAGAGGTGGATTTGTCCATTTCAGAACCCTCACGGGGCGGGGGGGGGGTGATTTATAGTATGGGTGTGATCTAAACAAAAAGATTCCTAACAGTCTATGGAATTAAAAGAAAACATTAAATTTAAACTCGGTAACCTACATTTCTTAGACAATTTACCTCATCAATGTCACTGGCCTTTTTTGTTGGGCACCCAATATTGTGTTCGTGACAAAGATTAGTAACATGGAGATTTATGGGTAACCTGCCATCCTAAAACTGAACAGCTGTTCATTGAAATGCCAGTATAGTAAATATATAGTCTATTTAATTATATTAGTATTATGAAAAGAAATTCTAGTTTGCTGCTTTTGTACATACATCACATGGGAATTTAAAATGTCCCTGCCAAATTGAGGTACAAAAGGTGCTTATTTAATACAGACATTATTGGATAGTGAAACCAAGATGTTGAGATGTTCTTTCAGTCATCTATGATTTTTGTTTATTTATGTTACCCTTCTCTGTTTAGCCATATTTATGAGGAAATGCCCTGTCTCAGAGCTTGTTGATCGGATCAGAGCATTATTAAACTTCAAAGTGAGTCATCCCTAATAACACGTAAAGGACAAGTCGCAGCCTCGCTAGGGTCTGATTCCGTATTCTGTGCTGTAAGCCTTTGAATAATTCTGTGGGCTTCATCAAAATCTCAAGTTCATTTATGCGGGAGCTGCAGCCTATTAAGTTTACAAAAGCTGTGCGCCTGTGACCCTTTGCTAATTTAAAATAATGCATTCCGACAACCTTCCCCAGATTATTGATGTGAAGCCTCCTTCTGTGAGATACCTTCCTGAAGGGACCAGAATTGCTGCTTACTGGAGCCAGCAGTACCGCTGCCTGTACCCAGGAACAGTCGTTAGAGGTAATGGCAAGTTTCTGAACGTTAAAAAAAAAAGCATGCTCTTATTTTTATAATTATTCGTCCGTTTTCAGTATGTGTCTTCCAGTGCCCTTTACAGGTCTTTATGGGATGTATACAAGTGTTGAGAGTATATGTAGATATATTTTTAATGTGGGCTTACACTTGAGGTGAGTACAAGGGTTTTATTCTGATCTTTGTCTTTAATATATTCTGTGTTTTCTTATTGGGAAGTTATCCTCTTCATAAAATACTTCTTGGAAATGGTTGCTTGACGGACATTCCATATTTTTAAGTGTTTTTTCTTGCCAAAGATTTCCATCCTCCCCCCACTCCCCACCCCCCCAACCGAGCTGGACTCCCGAAACTTTCACCCTTTTTTCAAAAAAGAAAAGGTATGCTAACAACCTCATTAAACACCCAGCCAGCCAGAGGCACAGTGACATGGGGTTAAGGACTGTGTGGTGTGCACAGTGTGGGCCTGGCTCTGCAGAGACTGCTCGGATTCTTTTACCTGGGGTGGAAGGGTTTTGGAAAATGGTCAAAAAACCTTTTTAGAGCTCAGGTGGTGGATGGGCCTGAGAGAAAAATAAAACTTGTGTAGTGCCTCCCTTCATACAGCGGCCTCTGTATTTCACATTCGTACTCGGCAAAATGTTCTTTTCATGCTTCTGGGAGAGAGAAACTGGAATTGCGGCCCACAAAGAGAATCCATTCATCATAGTCAGGCCGAGATGGGAATACCGAGCTGTTACTGCGGTTCTGATTGAACATGTATTGCATGGGATAAGGGGGGATGCTGGAAGACAAAAACGACTTTTTAAATCAGCTTTGCCTAATTTTCCCCATGGGGGGATCTTTAGACGGTGAAAGAGCTTTTGTAGAGGTTCATCCATGTACCAAGTTTCAATACATCTCAATTCAAGCTGTATACTCATAAAGCTCAGAGGGACTGCAGATTGGATGGTGATTAATTTATTTTGCATCTGCTACCTGAAGTTCCTGACTGAAGTTCCAGTCCTTCAGTGGAGCCCAGCAGTTTTAGGGCAGGACTCAGGAACCCTGCTCCTCGAGAGTCACAATACCGCACCATTATGGGGAACCAAAATCAGCAATTTTTGAAGGTTTGTGAGAGATCAATTGAAATGAATCGTTAGCTCTCTAGGACCAGAGTTTTTTTTTTTTATTTGATCAGTAATCTCCCAATTGTGAAGGTATTCCCAATCTTCAGAAAGTGCTGATTTAGGATGATTTGTTTTAGGGTTTTCCCACAGCCAAGGGAATTTTTGCTGTCTTGGGTGGAACTAAATTCAGGCTATAGGGACTGGATGTAGGTAATGGGTTTAATATCCTTTGCTGTGGCAGCCAGGTTTTATTAATGTTTGTAATGTAATTAAAAAAATGTAGTTTAAGCAGGTTGTGCACACCACATAATTATTTAAAATATAATATCTGGGATTATGTACACTACGTAGAACTCTGCGTAGATCTCTGTCCTGTTCAAAAGAATATTGTAGGGACAGTCATACAATAACTGGCAAAAATAAATGAGTGACTATATTCTGAAATACCGTACATCTGTCCCTTTCTATATGAACACTCGATTCTTCTGACTTTTGCAAGCATCTTAAAACCTTTTTTTTGCAGACAACAAAGCCGTTTTTGCTACAATGAATGCGCTTCCCTGGTGATCTAGCTAATCATCCTCCTTATTTTTAACATCCAGTCTGCTAAACGTGTTGCCAGTGCTTGAGGTGTTACAGGGAAAAAAAGGGAAGTATTCCCCTGGTTGGAACACATGAAATGATGGAGAGGTTTGAAAAAGGCGAGTGGTTGATCAGATTTCAAGGCAATGCAAATCGTAGCTGCGCTGGGTATATGTTCAGCAGCTCTCTTTTTTTTTTTACATATTCGGTCTCGTCAACTACTGCACTAGTTAAATGAACTCATTATCATAAACATGCAATAGTATTCTAAATTTGACAGTTCGGTACTCTTAAGATGACACTGAGTAATATCAGGCAATCTCAAGAATGAGTTGTAAGCTCCTACATGCAAAGTAATAGTAATTTTTGTTGTATGAAATTTCACATATAGTTTTTGAGATGGATTCGATGAGTTGCTTTCATGAAGTGAGGAAAAGTTATCAGTATATATGTATCAACTGGTAAACTGCAGGCCCAAAATGCCAGTTTTACAGGTTTTGGGATTAATGATGAGAATCTCCTGTAAGCTCTGCTTGAGGGACTGTGATGATAAATGAGAAGCAGTTTGCCTTGTTTTGTATTTAGCAGAGCTTTAAGCTGGGAAACCAAATCTGCAAAACATTAAAGAGGCGTTGCGTGACCAAAAATGCAGAACACTTTGCTAGATACTAGTTGTATAGAAACAGAAAAAAATCATTACTGCAATTATTGCTTTTTCTCTTTGGCAATAGATACCTGTTCAAATCAAGTATCTCAGCTATTCTATTATTTCTAAAAAACAGCATGAATTTATCTGCTTCTTGTGAACCAGTAACATAAATATGTGGCCCTTGCTTACTGTACCATTGCCCAGCAATCTCCTTTTGAGATCATAAACATCAGAGTTTGGAGGAAGGTCTGTGATATCATCAAACGGGGATGCTGTAGTTGGATAGAGGTTGAGAACCACAGGGAGCCTACAGTGACATCACCAAGGGTGCCTGCTTCATACAGTATGTGGGCTTTCCATGACTCTGACCGCAGCTTCTACATGTGCCAAGAAAGTGCCAATGGGTCGCATGCTTTACACTCCTGGTCTAGAGAGTGTGATTGAGTATTTAGTGACTCTAGGAGTTTAAACCTTATAAAGCCTAAAGAAATGCTACAGACTGGGCTGTATATTTGCCACCTCCTAAAGGCTTTTCCCCTTTCCTGTGGTGTTAGGAAGCCCAGATGTGGACGAGGACGATGATTTGATAACGGTGGAGTTTGATGATGGAGACACTGGGAGGATACCCCTCTCTCACATCCGCCTGCTGCCTCCAGACTACAAGATCCAGTGTAGGTGTTCCGTCAGTTGGTTGAAGACAAATGTTATAACCCAATTCTGGTAATCAATGCGCAGTTTCTAAGAAACAGGATTTATTCCTGGTGCTTATTCTGTTTTACTTGGCTTTTGATTTGTCATGATGAATGCTGAAAATGTAATTTGTTTTCCAAAACTGGTACTAAAGTGATGTTGGTTGCTGTGGCTTTGCTTGTTAGGTCTGTAGGGTGAATGCTCTGACAAAAGTTAAAACGGTTGGAGAGAAGCTCTCTGCTGATAGTCTTCACAGAAAATACTTAGAAGATACGTAGAATATTAATTTATTCATTTGGCTCACTTGTGCCTTAAAGTATAAGGATACAGAGGCACCTAAAGAAGTATGCAAATTTCGAATCAACAAGGTAAACAAATGCAGGCTGTTCTCGATTTACCTGCTTTTAATATGAACATTAAAACAAACATGCATCAGGACTATTCTCATTTTAACATTCTTGGGTGCAGCTAGAGACTCTCAACTTGGAGGTGTATTCACCAAGATGAATGGGCAGTTTTTGCCTTTGTATTCTTTCAGACACTGTTCATCTCCCATTCTCTCACAATTTACTAAGTACATGTATTATGTTGTTGTTGTCTTAGTCTGTAACCTATGGTTATAATGTCTAAAATCTAAAAATCAATCAAACCCTAAAACTATGAGCTACTGTGTGAAAGAAATCTTAAGGAAATTCAAAGCAAAGAATTTGAAGCCAGGGTTTAAAATAATCAGCCTTAAAAATTTTAAAATCAAACTATTAAATAAAGAGCTCAACAGTTAATAATCAATTAAAAACCTATGTAAAGAAAGAATGATTTGTAGTGTTACTTTAATTTAAATTGTCCAGGAACACATCTGCCATGTAAATCTAGAATTGTCTGTACTTTCTGTTCTGTACTCGGACTTATAAGATCCCTCACTTTAACTGGGTGTAAAGTAAAGCACATACATTTTTCAAACGAGTGGGGGCCATTTGGGCTTATTCGATTTTTGCCATCTAATAGATCTGAGAATCTCATCCCACTGTGTTGTGAAAGAAGTGACAAAGTGGGCTCCAGTGGTACGGTTCAGCAGCTTGTTCCTAACTCCAACACCCCTTTGTGTAAAGAAGTACGTCTTGCTTCCAGTTCTAAATGCGGTTTCCTTGTTTTCCATTTGTGTCCTCTGTTGTGTGTTTCGATGTTGATAAAAAGTAGTGTGGAGCTGCTGCTTCAGTGCGCTGTGGTTAGCCATTTCCTGTGTGGAGGTACTACTTTATGTGGATAAGACGACAGCTGTTTAAGTGCAGACCTGGCTAAGCTCTGGCGTGTACTGTTAAAATATCCTTCTAAGAGTCTGAACTGGCTGTTGTGAAACAGGTGCAGAGCCCTCTCCTGCCCTCCTGTTACCCAGTACTAAAAGGCGCAACAGGAAGTCCAGCAAGGATGTCGGGGAAAACAAAGAGCCCAACCCTCCACCGTCAGGGGAGGCTGCACCAAAGAGTCGAGGCCGCGGGAGGAGGCCCAAGCCCAAACCTGGTAATTGTCTTTCCGAACAGAAGAAGCAAAACGACTAAAATCAGCCACACTTTATGAATACCATCAACACTGCTGATGTGCTCAGCTTTTTTTCGTTTTGCTTCACGTAAATTTACAAGGGACTAGTAAATAACTGTTTGAAATAACTGTAGTTTAAACTCAAATCCAAGAAGAGTTAAGAGCCGATGCCAGACTTAATAAAAAAATACATAATGAATGGTATCTTTTTTCAGCTGGAAACTCGGCTACACTGTCTAATCTCTCATCTTTGTAAAAACATTGGAGTTCGGGGACTCTGTTGTATAATGAATTTTTTATTCATGAAAACAAAAGGAAACAGTGTCCGACTTTGAAATGTTTTATTTGGCAGAAAAAAAGTTAAAGACGGTACAGTGAGAACTCTGGAGTGAGAAAAAACAGGGATTGTTCTTTTGAGCTCACTAATTCATTAGTGTCTTTCTAATAGCCCAGTTATTATAATACATATAATGAGACATGCAAAGTAATTAATATTTTTGAGAAAAGCCACAATTAAGACTACGAAAAGCTTTTGTTCTCTGCGTTGTGAGATATTTATTGGGGAAAATGAAATATCTCTTATCTAAAAATCAGTTAATAGGCACGAAATATTAAAACCTTCATGTTGGTTTTTCTTCCCTTGTTGCTGAAGAGCCCGAGGCAGTTCCAAGTGATCTTGAACAGGGAGAAGTGTCTGCTTCCATAGGCACCCCAGAGAGGTCCTTCTCCTCCGGGAGACCCGGGCCCAGACCAGGGAGGAAATGCCAGCAGAGCAACAGCGCCAGCCCCTCAGCTCCTCTCTTGAACGAGACCCAGAAGAAAACCGCAAAGGTGAAGGCTCCATCCAAAGTCAACAGTCAGCTGCAGACATCGTACACATCCCCTGCCTATGGAAAAGTCCTTTCGGTGGATACCTACAGTGACCTGTCGGGTTCCTTGGGTTCGTTCATATCCAGCGAAAACAGCAGCTCAGGGAAAATCAAGCCCAAGAAAGGTCGGAAAACTGATGAGCATCAGGACGTGGGGGTGGCCACCAAGGGCCAACGAAAGCAGCCCGAGTCGGAAATTCTGATCAAGCTTGATCACGAGGGGGTGATGTCCCCGAAAACCAAGAAGACAAAAGCCCTGATGATGATGGAAGATCAGGGCCTCAAGGGCAAGAAGGACAATAAAACAGTGATGGGCATGGTCTACTCACCAGTCCTGCCAGCTGACACCAAACAGAAGTCTCCCAAGCCCAAGGCTGGGGAGAAGCAAAGTCCAAAGCCCAGCACAGTCTCCACCTACAGCATTGGGAAGCTGGGGAGCAGCGGGGATGGGCTGGTCAAAGTGAAAGAACCAGAAGTGAATGAAGAAGAGGAAACGGACAGCAGCAGCAGTACCACCACCACCACCACCTCCACCAGCAGCAGCAGCAGCAGTAGCAGCAGCAGCAGCAGCAGCTCGGAGTCTGAAGGGGAGGAGGATGAACAACGCCAGGAGGCGGGAGCACAAGAAGACACAAGCTCCTCCAGCTCCAGGGCATCCAGTCCCGCATCCTCCAACTCCTCCAGTTCCTCCACCAGCAGCTCGTCATCTTCATCCTCCTCTTCCAGCTCTAGCTCGTCCTCTTCCTCATCCACCACGGATGAAGACTCCTCTTGCAGCTCAGATGAGGAGACTTCAGCCTCGCCCCAGTCGGTCTCTACCACCCAGCAGGCCCACCCTCAAGCGGATGACAAACTCTCTGGCCAGATCCCGGCTCCCTCCCAGTCCCGTGCCAGGAGCCAGAAGCAGCAGCAGCAGAAACAGCAGCAGGGCAAGAACCGCCCAAAGAAACGAGAGGGTATCCACCTGCCCACCACCAAGGAACTGGCCAAGCGTCAGAGACTGCCTTCGGTGGAAAACAGGCCCAAAATTGCTGCCTTCCTGCCTGCCCGACAGCTGTGGAAGTGGTTCGGCAAACCCACACAGGTAGGCTTCTTAACGACAGACAGGTTTTTATTATTGCTTTGCCTCCAGGTAGTATAAAACAATAAAAAAACTTTCTCTCAAATGTGCTTATTAAATTCCCTCCTAAGGCATTGATTCCTGTCCATTGCCAGAACGGTGTTTTCCTCGTTTATTGGGATTAACAGCTCACAACGAGGACAATAGCCTCTTGTCATTTCCCGTCTTCTTATAAAAAAAAAAGATCTGCTGGTGACGTTTGATGCTTTCTGCTTTGCAGAGACGAGGAATGAAGGGGAAGGCTAAGAAATTGTTCTACAAGGCGATCATGCGGGGCAAGGAGATGATCCGCATCGGGGACTGCGCCGTGTTTCTGTCTGCGGGCCGACCCAATCTGCCCTACATCGGACGGATCCAGAGCATGTGGGAGTCCTGGGGGAACAACATGGTGGTCCGAGTGAAGTGGTTTTACCACCCAGAGGAGACCAACCCAGGGAAGAAACTCCACGATGGGAAGGTCAGTTCGGTTTCTAAATTTAGCTCGAAAGTTTCCAGCAGATAGAAATTCTCAATTGGAATGTATGTGGAAAAATCGAAAGGATATAAAAAATGTATTGGATAAAGAAACACAAAAAGTTAATTTAATCTTTAATAAATATGCTCTTTTTTTCACTGCTGGGCTTGTGCTTATGACTTCTCATTAGCAGTTGTGAATAAATCTATGAATTTTATCTCCTCGGTTTAAATGGAGACCTCTATAATCCTATTTCCGTCTCGTTGCCAGAACTGGGATCAGAAATCTGGTAGGGGTCTCCCAGCAGCCCTCCAGGCATCAAATCAGAGAAAGGACTTCATGGAGGTGAGAATCGTTGTAGTCCTATACAATGGCAGCTCTACATATCATAACTTATTAAGATCTGGGAAGTTTTCTTGCTTAATTCGAGTTGTCAAGCAGGGTCAAGGACTTCTTGGAATCATTAGCAAAGGATAAAGTTTTCTGCAGCTTCTTTAATTATGTAAAACCAAAGCGAAAACTTGTTAATTTCAAAGCTCGGCATGTGCCAGATATTTATTTTTCACATGTTTTAGTCAAACACATTCCCTTTAGCTGTGAAAGCAGAGTTGACTAAGTGTCAGCGATGCATTTCACAGCAAACAAATCTGTTCTCCTCTCCGGTCCATGGATCGGTAAGATTGGCTGTCCAGTCATGAATCAGTGGCATTGGTGCATAACTGTGTGCAGGAAAATTAAAAGTTCAAACTGTCTTTTCTTCTCTCCCCTGTTCAGCGTGCTCTGTACCAGTCCTCCCACATTGATGAGAACGATGTGCAAACCGTCTCTCACAAGTGTCTGGTGGTCAGCCTAGAGCAATACGAACAGATGATTAAAACCAAGAAGTACCAGGACAGTGAGGATCTTTACTATTTGGCAGGGACCTATGAGCCCACAACTGGGATGATCTTCAACACCGATGGCGTTCCGGTTATATGCTGAACTGTCTTCTGTCAGTCTTAGGGCCCCTTGGCCCCCAGCATGTCCAACATCTAAAAGATGTATGCATGGTTTCAGGAGAGAAAAATACATTGGCATCTCCTTTGGTGAGAAGAGCTTTGAAGACAAGCAGTGTTAACCTATTTGAGAACTTCAGTGACCTTCAAGGCTTACCGTTTTAACGAGCTGATTTGTCAAACACAACCGGCGGACAGCATTGCAACCATGAATGCATGCATTCTTCAACAGGAAAGTGAGTCATGGCCGTTGGCTCTGGTGGGAATGATCTGACGCCTCAAGAAGAGCTTGCCGTCAGTGCAAAATAACACAATCAACTCAAGATGTAGAATTGGTGTGACTCTGAATAAAAATCAAGCCTATGGCAGCTCAAAGCATATCTATTTTGAAGTAAGAGCCCACAGAGGCATGATGACATTAAAATATGGAAGCTCTCCTTCTGAGAGGCCTGTTGCCTGACTTTTCAAAGAATAATGACAGAACACAAAAGAAAGTTTTTAACCAGATCCCAGAGCTGCAAACCTGACCTTTGGGAAAAGAGAGTTTTGCGCTTACATGACATGTGCGTACAAAAGCTGGGAAGGCAGAACAGAATCAAGGTCATACATTCGCTGTCTGCAGAGCTCTAACTGTGGCGTGAGGGCAAAAGGGAGGCATCGCTGGAGAAAGTGTCGAAAACCGTCTGTGAGGCAAAGTGATCTCTGTTCAGCCGACTGCTTGCTTTTATTTCATCGAATATGCCCACACCCGCTGCACACACCACTACCAGCAAAAGTTCAATTAAAGATGACACCGTTCATAAGGGAAACGGTGCAACTCAGAGGCCATAAGGTTTGCTTGTAATAATCCTCAGGCGTTCCTAGTACCATGCTTCTAAAGCAACTAATTAAGGATGACAATACACATTAAGACAGAGAAAACAAGCCCACCAGGAAAGATGACATCATCATCCTGCAACCCTCTAAAAAAAATCTATCATGGTGCTTTAAGTCAGAATGGTTTCTGTAGAGTAGTGACAGATTTGGCCTTGTCATATCTAGCACTTGTCTTTCTGCCACTGGAATATACCATCACCATTGCCTGTCAAAACACTAATTTGAGATTTTGGGGCAGCGGAGGAGAAGCTCTTCAAGCACTATAAAAGGAGTGAAACCAGGACGTTTTCCACAAGCTCCAGTGCAGACAATTGGTCGACAAGCTGGACTGTTCTTTATTTTATTTGGTTTGCTTCTTCCCAGCAAAGTAAGAGCTTTTCGATATTCACATGGACATGGCTGAAGGAACCACATCTAATGGCAAAAACAGTGGTATTTCATTTTTTTTTTAAATGCTACAGAGAGCAAAAAAAAAAACACCCTTTGCATGACTCAAGTTGAACTGGAGTTTTAAGGGATCCCAATATTTTGTGTACATTACATATACATATAAATATATATATCTGAAATGATTCTTTTACGTTCATGTACTATATCTTTAAGTAAAATTCATTTTTTTTTAAAAAAAAGAAAAAAGCTTTATAAAACTGTGAAATAAAATGTTTAAAAAGTCAGGAAACTTAAGGTCAAGGTTCTATTGTTTATTCTTGTTGCCGGATCTTACTTAAGCAGCAAGTCGATGTGCATGATTCATAGTTTTAAAGATTTAGAATACGGGGGGGCGGGTGTTAAAATCCTAACAGCATTTTAGTTGCTATGGTGGATGATGAGGAAATGCTGTTAACCGAGAGCACTTATCCACTGCCCATTGCCTTGTGTAGAAGAGAATGATTTAGACAATCGAGCAGGAGAAATGTTATGCTGTTCCATTACCTGTATCCACGAGATACGGGGCTCTGTGTGATGGGATTCAATCTGTTTGTGCTTTTCTACCGGTCTTTCACCACTGTGCCATGTATGGTTCATTCCACAGCAGTATAGAAGTGACAAGAGGGTTTTGTAAACGCAACTTGTGTTTTTCCACTGAAAGGTTTCACAGTGGCACCCAGCCATTTCTTTTTCTTTTTGTGTTATTGCGGAAGCACTTTTCATGAATAACTTGAGAGTAAAAAGAGCCAATGAGTGGTGGAAACACAAGTCAATGGAATGGAACAGTTATAAAATGGGGATGAATTCCCACTTATTTGCTGATTTTTTTTTGTTAATTGCGCATTATATATAGCACTTAAAAAAGGTATGTCTCAAATTTACCACAGTATTCCAAGCAAAGATGACTGTAAGACCAGTTTCTTCATTCACACCAGTTGATCCTTGTTAACTGTATTTTAAGCAAAGGCTTCGCTGTTGTTCTCTGAAAGTCTTGTCATTTCGTATTACTGTGGGAACCAGTTTCTGTAATTGCTGCTCTACCCAGGACGATCAAATCTACTTGACTCTTAAGCCTAACCCACTACACATTTGTCCTTAAGTGACTGAACAGTCTTCTTGGCTTTATGTATGTCCAACCTTCAATCACCCAGCAATGTGTTGATTGTGACTTGTTGCAGTTGCTCTCAAATACAGGTTTCTGTTCTTTTGGTTCTAAAGCAATTTTAATGTATAGAAAGGCTGTAAATACAAAAGGAGATTTCAAAAGGTGAAGGACCGCCATGCAGCGCAATGGAGAAATCATTATAACTGCAGTCGCACTAATCAGGCATTAAGGCCAGAAAGGCAGTTTTTAGCACTGGACGTTGTGATTGAAATGACAAGGCAAGTCAGGGCATGCATGTCCTTTATCAGTTTCAGTAAATGTCATTTGCATCAAGTTAAACAATGTCACCACATCAGATTTTTAGAAGTGTTTTCTAAAATGTGTGCTCATCTGTCACGTTTGTTCTAAAAATATTTTCCAGCTCGCTTAATACCGAATTCAACTTTGCCTCGCTATATTATTTGAACTCCAGCTTTCTGGTAAAGAGTCATTAACGTACATAGTGTTGAATCTCAAGGTTGTTCACTGCTTCAAATGTTTACCTCTGAAGACAAGCCTTTCCTTGCACTTGTTTGTGGTTATCTTGTGAAGTTCAGATTGCCAGTGTCCTTAAATTTGATGCCATGTGTATTCCCAGTAAAATGCATGTTAATTGAAGCAATTAATCTTAATTAAGGAAATAGACAGTCCAGGATTGTAAGACCCAGTTGTATTTTCAGCTCCATGAAATTGTAGGGGTGCTCCCCAGTTTGGACATTTAGTCATCACTAACATGTATCCACAAGCTCATTCCCCTAGGTCTTTGTCTTTTCTGGCTGGTAATCAGATGTAGAAACACTAATGGAGACATTCTCGCATGTGAACATTTCTTCTGTTTTACCAAGCCCTTGTCTTAGCAGCACGGACAGTGAACTGTACCTGAAAAACTTAATTAGGGTTTGACCCTTAACTAGGGTTCTGCTTCACCTACAGATCTTTCTTTTAAAAAAGATCATAATCTCAGTGAGAATTCCCTGGTTAAATCAAGGTAAGATAATGGGGTTAATAATAAAATGTCTTTATTTACCCATATTCAGTTTAAATCACATTATGTATTCTGCTGTAATGCGCCCTGAGTTATTCTTCTTTGTGGCTATGTAAAAGTATTGTGCTTCCCAACTGTTTATGCAGAAATACCCCTTGAAACGTCCAGGAAAGGCATGAGGGAAGCAGATTAGTGTCGTACCAAACCCAACCATGAAAACGGTGAAGTGTTGCACAACAAGGTGTGGAATGCTGATATTTCCGGCCGTTTCTCACGACCAGGCTTTCCGGAAACACTTTTATTGGACTGAAACCGTTAGTTACACTGGCAAATGACAATGCAGAAATGAGGAGGACCATTCGGAAATCACAACGGTTATTTAATGAAAGCAAAATAAAACGGCATGCCAAAATGGCCCCCAAAAAATGACTGCTTCTCCTCTGGCATCATGCACAGAAGCTAACAGTTATAGCCACTCTTTGTTGCTGACTCCCGAGTCTTTAAAATGGACCCAAAGAAACTTGTAAAGGTGCCAAATTGTCGATTTATGGTATGAAATATGGATTTGGATTCTTGATGTGACTAAAAGCCTTACAGGACCTAAACGGTAACTTTTCATCTACCACTGAAAAGTTTTCATGCTTGTATCTGATTCATTCTTCACTTTTATGGTTTGGGTTTTTAGCTGCAGATCTGAAAAACATAGTCTAATGTTCACTACAAAAGCATAGCTGCAGACTATACAAGAAAAATGCTTTGCTAAAACAGAACTACAGGTAGATTGGATGTGAAATAGCCTTTGATAGTTTTCACTGGAAAAGCTAAGATGTCAAACAAGAACCTAATGCAATAGTTGCAATAGGCTGATAGTTCATTACTTAAAATTATTTGATCATACATTTGTGCAGCACAGCAAAGTGGGTTATGAATTGCTCACTATTTTATTTTATTTACCCCACCCCCCAAGCTACAAAAGAGGTGGTCGTTGTCTAAACTGGTAAGCGTTGTTTGAAAACGTTGAGTTAAAAGTCGTCCACCAAGCACTTAGATCAGTCCCAAAACCTTTCTTTCCTTTTTCCAGTAGGTCATTTTCAGTTGTCTGGAAATGCAGGCTACAGTTGCTCTGTGGTACGGCTTATCGGTTTCCTGTTTTACGCTGTAAGTCACACTGTCACTTCCTCTGGCCTGGCAGGGCAACAGGTCAGACAGTGCAAATACATTTCAACTGTCACACTCGGTATCACCCAAATTAAACCTCTGGGCAGAACCGGAGAATTTGAGGCCCCTTCATGAGCTGCTGCCTGTATTGGGTGGATACACAGCAAGAGACAGCTGGAAAAATGCTCTTGATTTTCAAAGAACTGAAGGAAACGAAGACAATCATATAGTGGATTTGTCTGCCAGTAGCCTTGTTCTGCTGGTTACGCCAGTTTCGCTTGGCCAAAATACATTTTTGAATGTGTTTTGTTGTTTTCCCCAAATGGAAGGCTACACTATCCTCCCGTACGTGGGGAAAGAGAGGGGTCCGCTATAACCTAAGATTAGAAACTTCACGTTGAAGAATTTGATGTCCCATTACCAAACCCAGAGTGTGGGTACGGTCCCATCCTGACACAGTGCTGATTCAACACATTTGGCCGTTGTGCTGCTTGCCAGTGTTGGGTGTGCGCATGGAAACGCATTGCTGATATGAAGCAATGAACCAGGGATGTGCTTGATGGATATTTCCAGGGTTAGTGTGAACAGCTGGTGGGCCTCAGACTCTCCGCACGTAACTGCTCCCTTCACAAGGTGCGAGTGCAGTTACTGCCCTTGGGAGAGTCTGAACTGTGACGTAATGTAAAGCACGGAATCTGTGTTTAATACATATGTATGTCTGTGTGTATGTTCATTCTCAAGTCTATTGTATTAAGATATTGGATTTTTGTTCTTTTTGTACGCTGTTTCCTCTTTATGTTTGTACCGATCCCCTCCCCCCACCCAAACAGAACAATCTTTCTCCATTTTTGATGTGCAATACTGCTGATTGGGTCCTCAGAGGTAGCTGCTAGTGGGCAGACAACTGCTTGTAAGATGAAAAGAGTTAAAAAAAAAAGGAAGAATTTTCTAAAGGGTTCAGACGGGAGGCTGGTCCTCCTTAGTCTTTGCTCTGTTGTTCCTTCAGCATCCGAAAGGTCCTGTATGAAAAAGTGTTACAAAATACTAAACAATTAAAAAAAAGAGCTTATTTTGGAAATTTAAAAGTCGAGATTTTGTAAATGATTCTATTTGAGGGGAATATCTGCTATGAATATCTTACTTTGTATAAACATTTAATCATGTAAAAATAATGAACACAAAAAAGACCAGGAGAAAAAGCCCACAACAAGAAACATTAAAGTGGGGTTATGTGGCTCATGTATAAAACTCACATGTGGAACTTTTTTATTGATACTACAGAGTTTTACAAAGTGTTCCTTTTAAAGCATTTTAGTAACTCGAGATTTTATAGTTTATTCATCAATAAACTGAGATAAAATGAACTGTTTGTGGAGTGTGTTTTTTCCCTTCTTGTCTTGAGAAGGCTTTGCCCCCATGTTGAATGTAAAATTTGATGTCTCTTTTGGCCTCAGAAGGTACAGCTGTGATGTAGTAATGCTTTGTAATTCTTAAGCGCTTTTCCAAAAAAAAAAACTAAAAAAGAACTGTATGACAGGGTGTGTAGTATGAAAAAGAAAAAAAAAGAGGGCGTTCATCCAATCAAAACGAGAGTAGAACTAAATTATACAGTAAAAGCTCAAGTGAAAAGATAAGCCTTTAAGTGAGTTTTACGAATGTCGACAGTCGCAGTCTCTCGGATGGATTTGGGCCGTGAGTTCCACTGAGGTGGTGCTGCACAACGAGAAAGCTTTATCTTCATTGTTAGGAGCCTTGCCTTCAACTGAGCAAGAAAGACCTGAATAGGCAGATCTCGGATTAAATGTTGGGCTGTACTTGTGCAATAAACCCTTAAGATAATGTGGAGCTAGACCTTGCAGTGCTTTATATGTGAGCTTACATGTAACATTCTAAAATCCTGGGTGAGCAGACAAGCACTCCTTTTCTTTCCCCCCACACACGTTGTTGCAGGAACACACGGCAGATTCGTCTCGACTGTCTCAAGCTTGCTAGCAGGAAGGCTTTGTAAAGTCCAGATGCGGTTTACTTGTATTATTCACCGACACCCTATTGAAAGCCTTTCTCACAAAATTGTCTTTAACAGAAGCAAGGATACACAGTATGACTTTCTAGTATGATAGAGTGAAGCAATTTTCTTTTGCAGTGACAAAACAAGCCTTCACAAAAGTGCTTTGAAATCTGGAGTCTCATGTGGTGACTTCTTTTTATGAAGTTCAATTATGTTTGACACTTCTGATTGCAGATTATCATATTCTTTTGAATTACTGTCTGAGGGGCAGTATTGTCTTGTTTTTTTTTTTACACTGGTAACTGAGGAGGGTTCCTTGGTGTACAATATGAAAGGAAAATAATCCTTCAGAGATCAGGTCTGGATTTCAGCTTTAGTTAGAAGCACACACACATCCCTTTCACCTGACTGAATGTGCCGTAAGAGAACACTGTGGGGGGAAGTTAACTTTGGTGCCCAAAGGGTGTAGTTCTTGTTGGGTAAAGTTATCCATACCTTTCTTTGTACGTTCTGTGGTAAGTATATTAAGAAGAAAAAAAATGTGAAAACTATATTAATTTTTTTTTTTAATTAACAGCAATTGGGTGCTCATGCTAGTTTTTTTCTAGCTGAGTGTCCAGACAATCCGTGGAATAAAAAGGGGGTCCCAAACGGAAAAAACCCGTTTGGATTGAAACATTTCAATAACATTTGTACATACATCACCCGAAAGACGCTCAACTGTCAGGGGTTGCAAGGCAAGACAAACACCCTGGTTAGGATGGCAGTTTGTCACAGGGCCCACACACACACTACAGTTAATGTTCAGCTCTTTCATAACTCCTTTTGACATTATAGTGAGATATTGTGATGTTACACTTCAAAACTAAATCCACTGGTGTGTGTGTGTGTGGGGGGGGGTCACGTCGGTGTTACTTTCTAACGTACAGCTCTACATTCTGGCATGTACAGGCTACTCGGGCAAATGGAGCACTAAAAAGACAAGTCTCGCTTCATGCTCCGCTATCAAAAGCCATGTGCTGGCCCAAATCGCATTACCTGCATTAGTCAGATTGAAAAGCAAAAAAGCATTACAATCAAATCACCTAAACTCATCGTGGGGGAATCAGTTGTGCACAGATAACCCGATTCCTACTGAAAATATTATTTGTGGTGGCTCACTGGAGCCATACATTAAGCTTCTAAACCTGCAGCTGAAAAAGGACTGTTGGCTGTTAATCCTTGTGTTCGTTACGACTCTTCTGTGGAAAAACCAAAGCACTGTCTTGATTTCAACGGTCTTTACTCGGGGCAAGATTGCCTGCTTGACCACACCACAAAAGTAAAAGGAAGTATCCTGACTTTGTTAGATGCTGTGCCCGTTTCCTTATGAAGTGCAACTCATTTGAAAAATATAAAGGAGGTTTTAGCTCCAACAGTATTGAAATGTGGCTGGGACATATTTCAGATCAGTAGGGGTATGAAGACATTCTCATTTTCAATTAAATCCCTGTTCCACTTACTCATCCCCTTATCCTGGAGCTGTTATACTTGATATTAAAGGATGATGAAGTGTCTTCACAGGAGGGGAAATTTTCCCATCATGTATTAAGAATGCTTCCACTTTGCTTAACCGTGTTCTGGCTGAAGCAGCAGCTCGGCAATGCCTGTGCATCCCAGAAGAAAGGGAGTTACTGGTAAGTACTCAATACCAGGAGAAAAGCTTTCCTTTCCTACCCGACTCTACTCAAACGCCAAAGGGTAAACAATTCAGTATGATTTGGCTGGGAAAAAGGAAAAAAAAAAGTTTATTAATGGCGTAAAGTGCTTTCGATTTAATGAAATGGGTATAGGCAACTATGGCAGAGTATAAATGATTGTGTAGTTAGGTCCTGAGGGAAATCAAATGGGACCAAGTGACAGGTTGAGGCAGAACTTCTGCATCTACTGCTTCTGTAACCCGTACAGCTTCCCTATGCTGTTTCCCACTGCGCCTGCTGTTGATATTCCCCATTACTGTCATCATTCAGTTTCATTTCTTAACTATTTCATGGCCGTAACTCTTGGGTATAACCAGCTGAATATGTTAAAAATATGAATGTTGAAATCACAAGGTCATTTAATTCTCGAATGCTGCTTCAGATTCCTCATTTACCGATACCTGCTGTATTAATCTAGTAGGTTAACTGACCACTGGTTGATAACTCCTAGGATGAGGTTAGTGATTACCATCAAACCACAATTAGTTCTTAATTTTTCATAAATCCTCAGTCAATTAAATACAACTTAGTGGGCCTAAGCAATTAGACGTCTGTAGGCCATACAGTAGAGTTGCTTTTTTTTTTTTCCAATGAGAGCCTTTGGAGCATTAAAAACAGTAACAAGCCAAAATGGTTCATTTGTCCCAGCTAGCTCATGTGTCTTCTTGAGTAGCTAATTGGTCTCAAGATCTCATCCCGCCATTTCTTGAAGAAGAAATGGTTTTAACAATATGGCTGAAAGATTTGTTCTCACCTTTGTATTAAAAGTGCCCTTTTCTCAGTTTTACTGTATATGTAGTGTATGTAGTCAATAGTTTCTACTGATATCCTGTGATCACTGTTGAATCTGTCCATTGGTTTAACTTTCCAAACTTAAAAAAAACAACCAAATGTGAAAAAAAATTGAATACTTGGATTGGGTATCCCTGTAGTCTTCTCTGTTAAAAAATGTTCATTTTAGCCAGTCATTCATTTCAGTATGTTAATATTTCAAATATATTAATATATTTTAATATCACCACAAAAAAAAGCTTAGGGTACAACATGCTTTATAAAATAGAAAGCATCATTTTTGTTTTTCAAAACAGCAGAATAATTAGCAATTTCTTAAGCAATTTGTGCAACTGCAGATACATTTATGGTCTGTCCACAAACTTAACCTTGTAAACTGTCAAGTCTAAAGCAATTATTTTTCTTCTCTCTGTTTTATGGTATCAATTAGTTAAAGTAGCTGACTAAGTACAACTAAACTGCAAGTACAACTGCATGATGTCCTGGTGTGAAAGTCATTCCGCACATTTGATTGAAAGCTGAAAACTTAAAGCACTAAATTACTATATTTTTGTTAGTACAGATACATCTACTAGGCCTAGAACCTTCAAAGTAACACTGCACAGCCAGGGACAATATCACTAATAATTTAACAGAAAATAATTGTCATACATAGTATATACTATTTTAATTATATTTATATATTATATATAAAACACAACTCTGGCAGTGTTCTCTTTGGAATGAGATACTTCTGTTCAAGTCAGGGAAGAAATCATTGCCTTAATATGTATACCACTTTTCATCTGTAAGGATACCAAGGCACTTTATACCTGTATATAAGAAGGATCCACTTTATCTACGACTGAAGTGCAGCCCCACCTGGTTGACAGCAGCCATTGTGCCCCAGCAGCCCAACTGCACAGCAGATCAGGTGGAGAGGGGAAACGCTGCTTCTCCAGCTGAATTAAGGGGGAACTTTTGGAAAGGTGGCTTGTACAAGCTCATAGTGGAATTTAAGCATGACACCACTACAATAATGAACAGAGTCATGGGAAAGGAGGAACTGATTACTTTTGTCTGTGCGGATAGCTGAAGGTCCTTAACGTCGCTTTATTGACCTGACCTTTTACACAGAACTATTCACAAACACAGCAAGTCGCATTTATGCTCCCTCCACCCCCAAACTCGGCTAGATTCCAGTCAAACAGGTTCACACGTAACCGCAACATCGGGCCCCTTTTGAGTTCACTAAGTTCAGTCCAGCCTGCCGTCCGGCTCCAGTACAACCATACGTCTGCATGGCTCGTCGTGAAACCTGTCTAGTGATTTGTGCAGCGGTAGTTTGACAAATTGATCCGGTGCTTTGCGCTCTTCCCTCCGCTCCTACAGATGTAATTGCACTGTAATTTAGAGCCCTCTTTCCACATGACTCTGAAACTTTTACACGGCTTTGAAATTGTGGGCTATTACTGTAAAAAATGTAAATTCAAACATCACTCTCTTGTGGTTCTCACGACAAGGGCAGCCTCTGTGCTTCACATGTAGTGTTCCGAGAAGCATAATACACAATCTACTCTAATCAAGGACTATTATCTTACAAGAGGTAACTGAAAAATAAAGGACATGTTTTGGCAGTTCCCAAGGCAACCAGATTTAAAAGAGTAAAACATTCGATATCGGTAACTTGTTGTTTACAAGCGACATCCAGGCAGGAGAGAGAAAAAGGAACACTAACACCTTCAGCATAATGGTAAAAGCACGGTGTCGGGTTTCTTACTGTTGAAAAAAGCAAGGCAAAGTTGAAGGGTTTTTTTCTTCCGATGTGGCCTTGAACCTCGCGAAT